TAGGGGAATAAGGAATAATAATTATGAAATGAAAGTATTTGACCTTCCATCAGAAAACTGCTGAGCTCCTTCAACAGGCCGCAAACAAATCAAACCAAGACATGTCGTACATTGAGCGGTTAGAAGTTCCCAAAAGTTACTTGAAAATCATGAATAATTAGGTGTTAAGGTAAAATCACACATTCTAAACCCCTTTTCTGCAGGACATGTTTGAGGAGACGTCCCTGAAGTAACTAGACCACACCCACATTCTGAACAAAGAGCCTGAGCTGATGATGTCAGAGTGGCAGACTGTAAACTGAACAGATAACGTACAGTAGAACGCTCTTTTAAATTGAAAAAAGAAAAAAAAAAGTTTTACTATTGATGCTTAGTGCAAAATTATAGTCAAATATGTTGTACTTATTCCTGATTGTACGCCATTGTGCTGAGCAGAGATGTACGATAGCAGAAGGTGCAGCGGGTTGGTAACTGTTGGTAACTTATGAATCAAATGTGTTTGGTCTGGTCGAGTTCATGGTAATTGTCGATTGTTGTGTTTTGTGAATAGGGAGCCATTGAACTGCTTTTGTCATGTTCTTGTCATTTGTTCTTGTTCCCCTTTCTCATTTTTTGCAAAGTCCAATCTAATCTAGTTTAGTGTGTGGGGTTTTAGTCTATGATGCCGAATATATAAGAAAATTTCACATGAGCAAAAATTCTTGATATTTTGGTCAGAAGTTAGGAGCGCACAGCATCACATTTCTGATGGAGGATCCCTTCATAACAACAGCTGGCCTTTCCACATATTTGATCTTGATTTAGTCTGGAACTAAATCAAGATCAGATCAGTGGAAAGACCAGTCCGACCACACCAAGAATGTCGTTTTCTGCCTATTTTTGAGTTTATAATGAAATGTTTTAGACGGATATGTGTAATGTCGATCAGTCCAGGAGGTGTTTGTCACAACAGAAAGAGCTCAAATTAAAAGTACAAATATATGGAAAAATTAGACCACAACGTGCGGTCTTCATCTTGATAGAACACATTTTATATTTTACTCTATGTGCTGATTGGCTGAGCAAGAGAAGACATACCCCTCCCACTTTTCTGTCTGAGGCCAAAATATACATGCATGTGAGAACTAGAGATGGAACTGTTTTGAGAGTGAGACTAATCTAATGGATCTCACATATTTCCATTATTTATGTATTCATAAGTTACCCCAGCATCACAAATCTTACACTGTTCTGTCTTATGGAGAGAAAACCAGAAAACCAAGTGTGTATGTGTGAGTGTGCATTCATTTCCCAATTCCTGATTTTCATCCAATATGGACCTAAAAACATCAAACTAAAACATCCAAGGCATCGAACAAATACAATAAGACACCATGAACAGTCGAAGCGATCGACCGGGGAACATTTGAGCGACAATGGAGTGTAAAAAACATAACTATTTATCATTCTGTATTTACAATCTGACACAGAGGTGGAAAGAGGTGCAACACTGACGACGACATTCACAAACACACACAGCTCATTGCAACAAAAAGAAAATAAACAGCTTTCTTGATCCATCATAATGTCTATTCTCTAATACTATGTTGTAAAAATAGGTAAATGCATTCAGTGAATCTCCAGATGAAGAGTCTGTTTGCACATTCATACGCAAAAAGTGGTTTGAGTTTGTAATGAGGGGATTAACAGCAGCCATGAGTTTAAGTTTAAGTTGCATTACGTCACTTTTCCATGAAGGGCTCCACCACCTGCTTGTGTTTCATTGAGTTTTGGAAAATTATTTAGCATTTAATTATGTCTTTGTCATAGTGGATACTTTAGTTTAGTTTTGTATTTAGATTTTAGGTATTGCTGGGGCACTGTGATGTAGGGGTGTGCTAAAAAGAATGGATTTTGATATTTTTTATACAATGCAATTTGTTAAATCAGCATACAGTATATACGTGTGCATGTTTGTTTTAATTAAAGGTATATAGGAGGATGTTCTACTTCTGGGTGGATCATCAAGACTATTGGTCCTCGGAATTGTCAATCATTCTGGTGATACGTGCTCGTCAAATAAGACCAGAGAGTTATGTTCAAAAAGTGGAGAGGACGGTTCTTTCCTAACATTTATCTAAATTCTATATACCTTTAACATTTTGAAATAGTCAGAAATGTGTGGGTTGTGGTTCTATGCGTACACGTTTAGGCACACACTTCATGGGGACAACATTCATGGGTTCACGTCCCGATGTCGTGCCCTCATTTTAAAAAGGCGAACACACTCTTGCACTACACAAACATGCACACTGAGGGATCATTATCAGTATGTCTAATTGCCAACCAACAATGCTAAGTTGCCAAACCAACTTATTCATTTTTCATTAAAAGGAATTTAAAGAGCGACTAAACACCTGTGCCCAGCCTGACTCCGCCCACATGAAGATTTGAAATTTTTCTCTAAAAAGGGCGTTGCCTGGAGGACCAAGGGACATGAAGGGGGGCTTAGAGTTGGGCGTGGTCTGGGCTGTGATTGACAGCTCACTTGTCACACACAAAAAAAACAGACAGTTGTCATTGCTGCTTAAAGCAATAGTTTACAGACCAGAAAGTCTCATTCCACCCTTGATTACACACTAAGATAATTGTAAAGCTACACACCTGAACCTAATCACACTCAATAATCTCAGAATGACGCATGTAATTTAATTTTAATCCACTAGATGGCGCCAGAATACTCCAAACTGCAGCTGGGGCGTGTGTGAGAGTTGAATGGGTTCACATCACTGGCTCTGACAGACTGATGTCACACAAAACAACTGATGTCATAGAGAACTTCAGAGTCAATGGAGAGGCCAGGACCAAATTCAAATGTAGTACCACCAAAAAGGTTGAGAGGGCGTCACACAGCGTTTTTTGGCTCAAAAGTGATATTTTATCTAATTTGAACTAAAATGTCAAAAAAATGACCAGGATATGTAGACAGCACTACAATAAACATACTTATGCAGTTTATGAGTTAAAAAAAGTTGATTTGGTGTTTAGTCGCTCTTTAAATGCACCAAAAATTTTATTATTTTAAATTTGAACTGAAATGTATCGTATAGAATCGTAACAAATGTAAAGTCCCTGTGTCAAGATACAGGGCACTTGAGTCTTGTGCAAATCATTCATACTTGTATAAATGTAAGTTGTCTAAAATAGTTGTATTATGCCTTTTTGGGGCCAGCTCACAGCACAGATCAGTGGTGTGCTCTCAGAATACATTTGTCCAGTATTTATGGAGCGAAAATAGAAACAACAAAAATTATGACTTTTTTCTTTTTCAGAGAAGTTTGCAAATTCTGAAAACATTGCAGATTCACATAAACTTGCGGCTGTGTAAACAATACTAATTATAAAGTCTTACCCTTTAAAAGTTGCAGCTCAGGCATCTAAATGAAAATATTACTTACTTTTTCCTAAATGTTTGAAAGACTGATTATACAAACTAAGCCACTAGTTGTTTTTTTTTCACATTTGTTCACCAGGCGGGAAACCCTCCAATAGAAAACTAACATAGTGACTTTTAAATTCTTTGTCAGTTCAAAGAGAGCATTTGAGATCTGAAAAGCCGCATACAGCAGTACATTTTGGTGTTTTTTGGATCGTGTCTGCAAAATCTGGTATCTCCCATGTGTGGGCTCCCAATTATTCTTACACACCCCAACTCCCTGCCCAGACTGAAGCGGGAACATTTTGATGGTGTAACTTGTTCTTTTCTGCTCTCCCTTTTCCCCCAGGAGGATTGTTCAGTCCAGGGAGCAACGAGTTGGAAGAGTTTAAAAGGAAAAAATGAACCCCCGTAACACAAACCATTAAATATGTCTACAGAAGTCAAAGCACTCAATATGGTAAATGCTTTTCTTTGTTATATTAAGGCTCATTGCTTTCAAGATTAAATACATGATATAAGTTTTTAACAATGAGGTCCTTTTGATACACAGTCATAATCTCAGCTGCTCAATGGGACTCTATATTTATCATTGTGAAGACCAACACAGATATAAATGAGCTGCACATCATGGACTAGCACCATATCATTCATTAAAAAAATAGACCGTCCGTTGCGTAGACTTCAGGTAAACACATTCACAGATCTGAAAACAATGAGCCTATGGTATAATATATATACTTTCAAAACGGCTAGTTCGTGGTAAGAAAAACATATTTGCACCCTATTCCATTAGCAATGATTATCTAATACATTTCAACAAACATCTTAAAGCAAATGCAAAAAAATATAAGTAATCCACAAGGGTGCAAATGCATGTGCTTCTTTGAATTGTATGATAGGGGCACACTTGTTTGTACCTCAAAAATAAATAGTACAAAAATAATATTTACTTTTTTCGTTTCGTATCTTGTTATAATGAGTTTGTTATGGGCATTCATGTGCATGTTTTGGATCCTAATGAACCCAAAAGGTGAAACGTACAGACTTTAGCATCTGACTCGCTTCCGCCGTTCACACAGGTGGAGAGAGCTAAATCACCACCACTAGGAGGCGCAGTGACCGGCAACCTGTGCTGAGAGGAACAAAAAAAAAAAAATATATATATATATATATATATAACTAAAAAGGTCATTTCAAATCACTATCCGCTTTCTTGTTGAAGTTCAAGTTGCGTCCATGTATAAAAACTGCCCTCTCCCATTGCATTTCCAGTTGGGTCCAGAATGGCAGTGGCAATGCGTGTGTGTGACACCAGTGCTTTCTTTTGCTCCTCCTTTGCGGAAAAACTGGGAATTCCCTCGGATCGCAAACACCTTCAAGAAACCGATTTGCCTTTTTTCTCTCACATCGCCTTTTCCAGAGCGTGAAAGTACGAGGCGGGGCGTACCGAGGAAACGCGAAACAACACGTCAATGCTACCGCCGTGTGTGCGTCCGATCGAGTTCAAGGCGGACGTGACTTCGAGCGTTCACTTAGCACTCGTTGAAAAATTGTTCCGGAGTGTTTTTTTTTCCGTGGCGGATCAGCACTCGGCGTCCACGCTGTGCACGGTGACGGCGGCCTGGAGGTGGTGCGTGTGCAGGGGCTGGTGCTGGTGGTGGCTGGAGTGCGCGTGCCTGTACGGGTGGCTAAACTTGTGGCTGAGGAGCGCGGCGGTCTGCGGGGGCGTGTCCAGGTCCATGTCGTCGTCATGGTTACCCACGTCCACGCCGGCGGAGAGCGGGTCGTTGTTGCCCGGCGGGTTCTCGCTGTCCTCCTGCGGGCTCATGGTGCTGTAGCCTGAGGACAAACACAGCGGAGGGAGGAGAAGGGGTCAAATATATCTTCAAGTTAGAATATCCAAATCTTTTAATATCTAGATAATAAAATGCAATTACTGGTTCTAACTCGTTCCATTCTAACTCTTCACCGTTTTTTTTTTTTCTGTCTAGACTGATCAGCCAGAACCAAAGAATTTAGAAATGATTATTATTTGAAAAACAACTTTACTTTTATGGCACAGTTCATACCAATGGATAGAAACAATGCAAGGAATTAAAAACATGAATAATCACCGTACTTTAAAAATAGAGAGTTTAACCTGGAGTTGAATATTGTCAAAGAAGCCTGTCTCACATTTTAAGGAAGACTGTTCCAGATTTTAGTTGCATGAATCTGAAATGCTGCATTATTTAACAATAAACAAATTATCGATTCCATGAAATTCAACTCAGAACAATTCAATTAACTTTTGCATAACCTTATCAATAATTGTGTTAATTCTATTGGCCATTGCAGATTCACAAAACTTGAAAACATTCTGAATGTGAAGCAGTTTGGATTTTGGACCTAGTTTTCAGAGGAGTTTAGAGGCTCTTATAAAACATCACGCATAACATAACACAAACATCACTGCATTACCGTCTTAGAAGTGCCTATAGCGATGATGAGGTTGGTTCTGCAATTTGGCCATTATCCAGCGTGAATGTGACACATTCAGACAAAATCCAGATTGCAGTCTATTATCAACATCCCTGTAATGCTGCAGGCGCACACTCTGGGGATCTTTGGATCATGAGCTTTGGAATGAGCAAATGTGTGAATATGTCATTTATGTCTTCTATTGCATTTAACCACAATTGTCTTTTTTGTCTGCTGTCGTTGTGTCCTTGGGCAAGGCACTTAACCCCACTTTGCCCGAAGCCCCCGCTGAAAGATCAAGGCTCTGCTCTCACCGACAGAGCAGCCGTCCTCCTGCGGACTCACCACCTGCAAGAGGATCAGTGAGGGGCTGGTGCTCTGACTGCCACCCCCAACCCAGGAATGGATAAAGGGGAAGAAGATGGATGGAAGTCTTTCTGTGTGATGAAATGTTTGATGTTTGTTTGTTTTTGTTTACATAGTTGCTGTGTTTAAGTAGCTAATGACCTGTATCTGACATGATGTCAGGTTGGACTCACATAAGCAAGTTGATTCAGCCCAATCCTATTTTTGGTTGTATTATATTCAGTGAATGTTATTTATCAAACAACTGACCAAAAATAAACATTCATTCATTCATTCAAATGTCAGGGCATGGGTATGAGATAAAACGGTTGTTTTTGGCCACAAGTCTGCTAATAATCCATTTGATTTAACAAAAGGTTTTGGATGACTGCTGAATATAATTGTGTTATGAAGAAAATGTGATGGCTATTATGAGCAAAGTGGAAGATTTGAGAAAAAGGGTCAACTCCACCGTAAAAGTGCACATGATGTAAGGCAGGAGATTACTCAGACGAACAGCACTAAGAGCTGGGATTCCACAGGGGACTAGAGGACTTTATAGTACACCTGTCATAGACTTACAATAACTCAGCATGGGGTGGACAGCGCCTTTTGGAACCGTAGTTCAAAACCACTCTACAGGAATCTTTTTTTAATTAGATTTTTTATAGAAGTGCACTTATTCTTAGTAACCCTCAGAATCACAAGATCTTTATGTCATAAATCCACGACAATATGGTTTGGATGGCTTTCCGACAACTTAAGACCCCTCTGGGCATTCCTGCCTTATGCTTAATCTTCTTTCGTGATCATTTTTTAAAATGAAACATACATATGTTTTATTCAAGACATCTCGCACATATGTTCAGCCTGAGGTGATAAATGTAAGCCAATTGGACACAATAGAAAGTGGAGCAGTGAAATGGTGACGCTGGTCAAAAAATAGACTAAAAATTATAGAAAAAGATTACAGTTTTAGCTTGAGGTAAGCGAATGGAGGTTTAATGTTGCAAAAACACAAATGTATTGGTTTAATTTTAATTTATTGGTCATAAATGGAATAAAATGAGAGTGTAGTAAATTGGTTGAAAAGAACGGTTGTGTTACTTTCATTGTCTTTATTCCTAAAATATTTTTGCAGCTTTAGGATTTTTTTTTTTATATTCTCTTTTAAAACACATTCTGAAGCGTTTGCCTTTAACAAACAATATATAAACAATTATGCCTTTATCACCAATCTTTCACCTCTAACGTGTAACCAGGCACATTTTCCATGTTCCAAGCACCAAAGCACGTCTGCTGTATAACAAATGAAACGTTATGACTCTAATGGCTCCTTAATCCATAGACGCAGCAACTTCAAACAAAAAATCTCAGTTTGGAATTGTTAAACTTTGAAGCCAGTGAGAACAAGAGCGAGGGATTGGAGAGAGCAGTGCAGTTTAAGAGTGAGAGGAGGGAAGGCTCGTATAAAACCATGAGAGACTTCAAAGAGACCTCAGCCACAGGAGATGCCAACTTTAGCACCGAGTTTATCCCACGTTTCCCCCAGAGCCAGAGCCAGGGAGAGTGGCTCCAGCTATCATGTTATTGCACCTGTGGGGACTTCGTGAGCAGAGGGCACTTCAATATTTAAGGCCATTTGAAGGTTTGATTGCATGACCAGGGGACTGCATGCGTCATCATAGCCTCATTTGTCAACTTAATAGAATCAGTCCAGCAGTTTTACTATAGCAATAATATTAGTTGTGGTTGCAGTTTGGTGAAATAGGCAATTGTGAAAGAAACAGAGGCAGTTAGGAGTAAAGCAATAGTGTTAGGGCTTCAATCGTGACTCATTTGATAATTGCATGGTCGGTCGATTATTAGGGAACCATGCATTGGCTGAACATCGGTATCGGTCGATGTTTGCCTTAGTAACAACCATCGGCAAATAAAAATGACATTTGCTGATGGTAGGCGCGTGCGAAGGGACAGTGGTAGAGGGCGTTCACGCACTTTCCTCAGTAGAAGAAACAAAGAAGATGGTGGCGGTCGTGTGGCAATATTTTACAGTCAGAAAAGATCAGCGTTATGCAGTTTGCACGTGTTCCAGTGAGATTTCAAGAGGAGGGACTGCTAAAAAATCATTCAACACAACAAATCTTATAGGACATTTGGGAAATATCTATATATGAATAAATAAACAAAAAGAAAAAACGTTGGCCACGTTCTTTTGTTAAACATCGGTATCAGATCAAAATTTCACAATCGGTGCATCCTTATCGATTAATCTTACAATCTATTAGCTGTTTGGGTCCCAAATTATCAGTGAATATGGGATGTCATGCAACCAAAACAAGGCTGAACTGATGCCTATGGAGAGGATTTTATGATTCTCGTTTTGTATTTAAATACTTTGAAAACAAATTCAATAGTTTTGTAAAGTCCTCCAAGCTACTGTTAGCTACTGTTGTGATTTAGGGCTCTACAAGAATTTATAGTGTAGAATTGAATTAGCCGGCTGTAGTACGGTTTCAGTTGTAATAGTTGTGGCCGTAATTGTAGCTGTATTACCAGTATAATTACTAGCATGAATAGAGGTAAAGTAGGAGTAGAAATGATAGATAATTGTAATCAAGAACTAAAAAAAATACATTATCATTTTGAATTTCACTTGCATTCATTTAATTTACAGCACATAATATGAAAAACACCACTAAAGTGTAGTACTTGCAGCTATTTTATGTTCACATCAGATTAAACAATTGGCTTAACTGATTATTCTGGCTCTGTGCGTATTGTCAGCAATGCAAATATCTCACGAGTTAATGAGGAGGCACTGACAGAAGCAAAAATAAGAATTTCCCTCCTCCCCGTCCTGTTGCCCTTGTGTTGCACCCACATTACCCCTCTTTCATCATTCATTTCAATGGTTCTCCTCTTACCGCCTTAACTACACCACGCAATCTGTATTTCATTTGAATCTAAGGTGATGTCAAATGAGCTGCAAAAGCTTTTACCAATTGTTAAAATTAGGGATTGCACAATCTATCTTCGCTCCATGTCATAATCCGCAGATGCCAGATAAGAACCAATACCACTGAAGGGACTGAAAATAGATTATTTTTTTGTCTGCGATTAAGAAAAACAAAGGGTATATACACTGTATCCTGCAAGGAACAACAGGAAAAGTTTGTATGAGTACAAATTATAAATATGACACTCTTGGTTATATTGAATTGAAAGGACTAGGCAATATCAGATCTAGAGCTGAAAACCGATCAATACTCCAGTAAGCACAGATATCCGGTCCCAGTGTTGAAATGCAGTATTAGTTAAAATCCCATAAAATCATTGCTTGTGTGCTCGGTGTCTGAAAATTACTGATATGAAAGATAAATATCCAGCTTTAGTTTGTAATACCATTTGCTTGTCGAACAGTCAGCATCAAATCAGCTATTTAAGCCCTGAAGTAGTCTAAACAAGATATTAACAGCAATTTGTTCCGGTGTCAAAACAGCCACCATTTACTAAACTGGTGCCAGGGGGAAAACATGATGCTGCCCACTGCATCTACGAGTGTTGGAATTATAACTATAGGAAATCCTTGTAGCTTTGCATCACACCTTGGAGATACTTTCGCATTTGTTTCAGAACATTATATGAAAAGACCACAAAAGTCCAGCAGCTTGAATGATTGGTTGAAGTCAATTTGAACGGATAATCTAGATTAGACAGATTGTAGTTCTGAACATTGTTGTGGCTAAAAATCAAACTTTTACCAATTATGCCTTACGTTGACGCCACCTGCAGGTGAAAGTCTGATAATAGCAAACCTCTACAGCTAAACACGGCTGGGCCTGGTTATTAAAGAGATGGGAGACCTCTGGGAACCTCTTCTGCCACAGGTCTGCGGCCGGTTGGTGGTAGTCTGAGGGGCCGATGGCACATACTGGTTGCTGAGTGGATAGCACTCTTGCTTCTCAGCAAGAAGGTCCTGGGTTCGAAACCCGGTCCGAACGGGGCCTTTCTAAGTGGAGTTTGCATGTTCTCCCCGTGTCTGCGTAGGTTTTCTCCAGGAGCTCCGGTATCCCCTACCACTAAAAACATGTACAATAGGTCTGGCATGTGCCTCCTCTATGGCAATCCTGCTCCCATCTCAGTGTACAGTGAGAGACAAATGCCCACTGCAATTGTAAAGCACTTTTTTTGTGACTCTGGTCTGTGAAAAGCGCTATATAAATAAAGATGACTTACTTACTTAGGTTATCACCCCCAATCTAGTGATTGAACAATGCAGTATGAAGAGTTTTTGAGAGTACAAAAAAACACTTTTTTGCAAAATTTATGCATTCTCACTATTAATAACACAGTGTGCATTTTGCAACAGTCTGGGACTTTACTGTGCATTAAAACAAAAACAATACAGGGACACAGTCTAACCCTAACTTCGATCCACGGCATCTGAATCCCCATGCCTACCCTGCCACGGTGTAATCCTTGAGTGCATAGCAGCGTCCCATCTGTCGTCTCCAACATCCGACAGACTACTCGCTCGTACCCGCCCTTCACTTTCAGCCCACTCTCCTCTTCACTCCTACAGATGAATCCTGCTCTCTTCATCATCACTTATGCAACAAGTACTGACGCAGCAGATGCCCAAGTGCCACATGTAGGTGGAGAGTCCACAAGGGTAAAAAAAACGGCTAGTGATGGCTTTTGAACTTCTACAAATGGCACTGTGAACATGAGCTGCTCCTCCGGATCCAAGAACAAGAAAAAAAACAAGGATTGGGAGCTGTGATATTATAAAAAGAACAAGCCAGCAGCTGCAGCTCTGCCAAAAACTCAGCGCTTAGGGTGGATTGGATTGTGCTGCAGCTTTCAGATAAAATAAATCTGATATCCAACTCAACTGCCTTAAGCCAGCGTAGGCAATAAATAAAGGGCTAGCCTCAATGTTGGAGCGCTAGCAGCTTTTGACTTTACCTGTCCAGTGTCGACAAAGGGCTGTGTAAGCACTATACTGCAGAGAGGAGAAGAAGAAGGCTGTATTCAAACAAGGCTGTCTTTAAGCTGCTCTGTGCCAACTCCATAGAAGCTGCCCTGGATCTCAGACTCTCGGTACATGCATTATTCTGCAAACATGCATGACACCTACTCCCTCCGTGTTCTGCTGCATTAAAACATATGAATGAAGGACTTTTGGGGAAAACTAATGAACAAATGTTGAACAATCATTAAAGGAGCAGTAAGCAATTTTGTTAGCTTACTGCACCAACTTGAAACCACTCCCCCCCTCCCCTCGCCTCTCAAACCCTCCAAACCAAACATCCAGCATTTTCTTTTCTTTGTCACAACAAGGAGAGTGGGTGGCAAACGTGAAATTGGAATTTTCTGTTCAGCCCTTTTAGGTTTTTGATTACTCAGGTGCGTCTAATAGATCCATGAGGTGCGCGCACTTGGTGAGAAACAGGGAGAGGGTGAAGGGGGGTAAACACATCCCATTGGTTAATTTGTTTTATTAATTTTATGGAGACTATTAGGCATCTGGTCAATTCCATCACTATTTGAAAACACATGATGACTACTTTTAGGGTTTAGGGCGACGGTAGCTCAGTTGGTAGAGCATAGGTCTTTGAGCCCGAAGGTCATGGGTTCGAGCCCACCACAAGACCTTTCTCCACCAATTCCACTGATGTAAACTGTCGTTGTGTCCTTGGGCAAGATACTTAACCCACTTTTATAAATAAATTAGCGGAAGTGCGGAAGTCCTGTTTAATAATAAAAAAAACCTATGGGGCAGCGCCGTGACCACATACTGCTGTTATATGAAGTCTCTGGAAAGTCTCAGACACAGAGACTCTGCAGCGCTGCATTTGTGGAGAAGAACTTGACAAAAAAAGCCACTAGCTTAACCCCGTTAGCTTTAAAGCCCGCCCGCCACTTCCGCAGTGTTTTGGGGCATTGCCGGGCAGTACTTCAGATGTACTAAACTCAAACGACTGAAATACAGTCATGTCAGTATTGCTCCTTTACTCCTGGGCTTTGGTCTTACCGTGGTCACTCTCTGTGCCCGACCGGCCCCAGTACCTCCGCCGCCGCTCGGGGGTGTGCGTGTGCCTCTCGATGACGGCGGCAATAAATCTGGTGTTACTGACTGAAAGAAACAAACGGGTGCAAACAATTATTTTTATCTATTAATGATGCGACAAGACAATAAGAAAAGAGACGTACTAATTCCTCTGTCCTCGTGACTGTCTTCATCCCTCTCATCTCGCTCGTTCTCAAGGTTGGACATTCTCACCGACATTTCTGTGCATCAGAAAAATGAGAAAAAGGGACATTTGTGAGGTGTGATGACAGGAGCAGAAATTAAAAATGAAATCAACTTATAGAATAATGATTTGTACTGTATTAAAGTATTTAAGTTACTTTTCCTGATAGTAACAGTGAAATTTGTTTGGTGATGCTGATGATAATAAAAATGATAATAATAATACTAATAATGATACCCCAGAACAGTTGTGACTTGATTTGTCCATAGTTAATTGCATTTAAGTACATGTTTTTCTCCTGTAAATGTTTTGATATTCCATTCATCCATCCATTTTCTTCCCTTTAATCCATTTCTGGGACATAACATCACACCATGAAAAAGTTCAAACAGTTGGTTGGTTTTAAAGATGAAGATTTTTTTTGGTTGGGACAGTGTGTATTCATGAACAAAAGGAGCTGTACATTCACCAGATTGCAGTTTTTGTAGCTCATTCCCATCTGTAGTCCCACACTCACAAACACAGATACTCATTCAACCTTCATCTATGGAACACGTTTATATTGGTAGGGGAAACCGGAGCACCTGGAGGAAACCTAAAATCTAAAAAAGAACGTGCAAAAATCTACACAGAATCAGTTTGGAAATGGATTCAAACCAAGGACCTTACGCCACCCCACCGCCCATAGACTTACAAAACTGCAGACATTGTCACTTTATGCATGCAGGCTCGAGGCCACACTTCTTTCCGTTTAATTCACTTTGTTTACCATTTGAGAGCGACTTGGCGTGGAGTTTTAATGAGCCTATAATCTTGTTTGATGTTTATGTCAATAACACTGAGTAATTACACAAATCATGCAGCAGCTGCTCGAATGTCAGCCCTTTTAGCTTCTCCATTTTCCCCTCAGTGTTCATTAATCAGCCATTAAACTGAACGACTTTTATTCTTATTCATGACTTCAATCTAAATGTCATTGTTTGCAGGTTGTAGCCGGGCGGAGCATCGCTATAAAGCCTGCATCAGTCGCTTTCTCATGATGTCACTATGGCAACATGGTACACACATGTTAGACACCATTAACAAAAGAAGGCCTACTATAAACACATTCAAGCTTTTCTTTGAGTCTTTCATGGACATGTGTTAGAAGTGTCAATGCTTTCCATTTCATTCACTCCTTTCTGTACTTTGCACCTATTTTTATTTTTTTCCCCAACTTGATATTATGGCCCGGAAGAGGTGTTGTGTGAGGAGTGAGATCTGAGCCGTTACATACTCTATATGCTTTTAAAAAATCTACCATTCAGAGCTTGGAGGCTTACAGCATCCCAAAAAAAAGAATCTCAACAATATGAACAATAATAAACTCCTTTCAATATACATATATGATTGTAAAAGTTGTCTATGCATCTGTAAGGCTGGGGTAGTCCATTTATTGTTAAGAAAAAACACCAGGTTTTGCACTTATTTTGCATAACCCTATTCATAGAAATCAGTCGTACACAATAAAAACTGAAACAGAAGAATATGCAGCCTATACGTGTAACATACTAATGTGCAGTTGTAGAAGTAGACCTGGACTAAGAGTGTGACAGAATCTTACCCTGAGCTGCTAACGGCGACATGTGCTGGTGCGAGCGTCTGTGGATCTGGTGTCTGTAGGCGTACACTGCCAGCACCAGCACCATGATGCATCCCATAATACCTCCCGCCACCGGGCCCACGGGGGCGCTCTTGATCATGTTCAGAGAGGCCACGTCTTCTTCTGTAAATAAACACATCAAGATGAGTACATTTCATACATTTCCTCATCTGAAACAAACTGGATCATTTTGAGTTTTAAGCCTCAAATAATCTTGAATCTTAGAATTTATTATGAAGTAATAATAATAATAATGCATAGATTTTATGGAGCGCTTTTTTTACATGTCATTATTCATTCACTCCATACACAATGGTGATAAACTACTACTGTAGCCACAGCTACACAGGGGCACATTGACAGAAGCGAGGCAACCAGTATGTCCCATCAGCCCCTCTGACCACCACAACCATTCACACACACCAGACTCATTCTAGGCAATGGAGGTGAAGTGTCTTGCCTAAGGACACAACGGCAGTTTGGCACTTTACAGCTGCAGCCGCCCCACTGTGGCTGGTATTCCCAGAGGTTAAGTGTCTTGCCAAAGACACAACAACGTCGATGGTGAAGGTCGGGCTCGAACCCACGACCCTCTGGCTTAAAGGCCAATGCTCTACCAACTGAGCTACTGTCGCCCTTTGCAGTGCATTTAGAAATAAAATAATAAATAGCGGGACATGAATCAGACGATAAGAGACACAGTATAAGCTTCTTTACATTAGAAAATCTCTAGTTAAAAAAAAAAGCCTAGAAAGAAAACCAGATCTCTTTGCAGATGCAGTTGTCTCACTGACCCAATAGTCCCAGGTTGTCCACATAGGGGCTCTTGGCTCCTACGATTCCCCCAAAGCACTCCTTCTGCAGGGCACAGTAGGGCTTGTCCAAGTGGGTCTTCCCGTCGCTGTCCACCATGCACCACTCACAGTCCAGAACCCCGAAACAATCACTGAGGGACACGTAAACAACAACATCAATGATTATGACAAGAGAAAAGAAAAGCATTAAAAGCAGATGTATAGGGAGATATTTCGAATGAGACAGTAGTGCATATAAAATGACTTGTAGATAAATATAGATTGATGTTTTAACACTAGGATGCAATATGGACTTTTTCTTTAGTGATACCAATGTTTTTTTTTTATTCTCTCCATCAATGAATATATAGATATACATTAGATTTTGCTCTGATATTTAAACTTTGACAACAATTAATCTCTTATCATTTAAATATAAACATAAATCACAATTTAAATCAAGAGGTCAAAAGCCTTTATTTCCTTATTGTATCGTTTAGAAATGAATGGTATCAAATTTGAAGTCCCCTGTATAAAGATCTACATCATACTGAGAGGCTTTGATCCGGGCCTTTGCGTATAATGTGTTGGTGGTAGATTGGTTGTTGACAAAACTCATGTCTATTCAGCTATTATGGTCCCAGCTGGATTTGTCTGCATATCTGGCAACCTCAGTCAGGGAGAGTGGAGAGAGAGGACTAAAGAATATTGACCGTGATTGGCCAGATTTTTATATATTGCTCCTTTAAATAATTCTAACCCAAAATGAGAATTATTGTGGTGGAAATGGTCAGTAATATATTGAGTCAAACAATGTTATTTTGGTTCATCAAGAATTTAAAACTAAATAATCACATCCTGCTGTTGGGTAGAGTCGAGCCAAAGAGAGGCTGATGCTCACTTATGATATCATTGAATGTGACTTGGTGTCCTGTGCTGATGCTAGGGATGCAAAAAGGCTGAGAAAGTTTTCAAAGAAGCGTACCTGCTGGTGAAGCGCTGGCTGCAGCGGGTGTTGATGCACTGAGGCAGCGTGTCGTGCAAACTGGGTTCAATCACGTTCAGACTGAGCGGCTCCTGAAGCACTTCGCAGCTCGGGTTCCTGAACGGTAGAAACACAAACAATGGGGTGAACAGAGGGTTTAGAACAAAATAAAATAAACATAGTAAAACTATGCAGACTGAGGGCCATCTTTGTTTCCTGACAGAAAACACAGGGACTTATCTGACACAGTGGAATGTTAATTACATGTCTTGTCCTATAAAGGCGGACTTGGCATTTTGAAAAAAGGATGCGCTGTCACAGAGGGCTGACAGCAGATGAAAGGACACAAACGAGAAAGAGAAAACAATACAGACAAAAGACGAAGAGGCAGCCGGCATAAAAGCGAAAAAACGCAAAGAGTGGAGAGGAATTGACAAATATTTACAATCCAGAGAAGAAAGGTTTTTTGCCCAACTGCTCAAAGTCGAAAACTTGGGATGCCATAGAATCTCAAACTTTTCCAGCATGAAAAATGGGTTAGGGCTTGTTTATGGTTTGATCTGCATTATTTATATAGCGCAGCAGTACATTTTACCTCTGATGAACTATATTAAAACTATTTTGCATAAGAACGCTCTTTTAGTCTGACCTAAATAGAATATTGTTCACTGCCTGTGCACACAATGGAGCAAAAATCCTACATGACATTTTAAAGCATCAATTTATTTTGCATGCTTATTTTAAAGACTGTCTGTGACATTAAAGAAGATTCTGGGGAAAAACCCATTGACAGATGTAATACGCATTATTCAGACACAAGAAACTAAAGTATGGCGGCGTCTCTGGATCACTGACCTGTTCTCAGCGTTGGTCAGGTTGCCCGTACATTCATTGACCTCCAGGGGACACTCACACGGACATTCACACTCGTTCTGTTCCATTCTGAAAAACAAAATCATGCAATCAGACAGTGAACGGTGACCTTTTCACCCCAGGGATCGACTTGTTCAAAACTAAAATAACACTGGCTCTAAACACTGGGTCGATACATAAGAACTCGTGGTGGGACTTGCACTTAAATTCAATATCTTCATAGACGCACGAGTTCAATAATAAATGTAGTTGGTTCAAACTTTACTCCCACCAGGGTTTGGCAGCAAGCAAACATTTAAAAACAGACACAGTAAAATCACTAAAATACACGCTTTGAAGATATATAGAACAATATGTCACAGAGACGGTTTCAGGCCCAGTGCAGCAGTGCTGTAGTGTGTACAAGGTGTAATAAGCTGTAAAGTGTTTGTAATAGTTTGTATAAAGTGCTAAGTGCTGTTAAGGTGTGTCCCAGATGTTGGGATGTGTAGTTCCCAAACTTTTTGTCCTGCATCTGGGTTTATTGTTGTATAGTTATTCAAGGCTCTTCAGTTAAAAATGAACGCATTAAATTGACAACTGTAAAGTCCTCCGAGACGACTGCTGCTGTGAGTTATACTACACTTTTTATTCAATTGAATCAAAATTAACAAACTATTATCAATAATGATAATAATAATAATGATAACATAAAATGATTTCAGTCTGAACCTGTGGCAGTTGAGGCAGAGGCGGTCCACGGTGCTGCAGGCGCAGAAGGCCAGCGAGTCGCACGTCTCGTTGACGATCCCGGCGAAGGCGTTGGTTCCTGGGATCCTGGTGAGGCGATACCTAGAGCAGTGGCTTCCATGGACCAAGTTAGTGAGGTCCCCCTGAGAAGAGAAGTGTGAGGTCAAGGGTCAGTTGACCATGAGGACTAAAGAGAGCGAGGGAAGCAAGGCTGACAATGGAAAATAAACTAAAATAAACGAACAAAAATAAATCAATAATTATCTAATGTAGTTATGTTTAGTATAAAATATTATTATATGTTGACGTTATCAAGACGTATTGTTGTGTATAATGTAATAAACATTCATATATTGTTTTTTTATTTATACCAATCAATGCTATTTCAAATGTAAAAAAGTAATAAATACATATCCAGATTTTTTTCTATATTTAGAAATGTCTTTGTTGTTATTATTAACTATATGTTTGCCCTGAAAGTGTAATGTAAATATTCACTATATGGTTCTGGTTGAGACATTTCAGATGCAAAACAGGATCCCACCACAAGATGGGAGTGTTGACCTTCTTACCAATATGCTGGTGTTGAACTTGTAGAAGCGCTGCACTGTGCGGTCGCTGAAACTATTGCACAGATTTTTCTTGACAAAGTTTGGATGATTGAGAATATCGTTTGCCACCAGCGGCTCCTGAAGATATCAAACCAGAAAAATCAGAAGATTAGATAAAAGATGCCACTCAATAACAGATTTATGATTGTATTTGTGTGTTTTCTCATTTACCTTGTGCGTGATGTGCTGCTGTTCCGCGGGGGCGTGGCCTTTGGGATCAATCAGAGTTGGATGTGCCACGAGATAACCCCTGTCCTCCATTATAAAGCACCTGACATACACACACACAAACTATTAGGCAACACAACCTACTATTAGACACTTTCTATACAGTGACATGGCTTCCCACAAACATTTCTCTACAGTTTTTTTTTGTTGCATCTTTTCTTTTAACTGTCTCTGTTTTTGATTTAACCAAAGAAAAAATGTGTTTTAACAAAACTTCAATTCATTATCATTTATATTTTTGTCAAATAAAAGATTTTCTTAACGCCATGGACTTTTCAATCCTCATTGTGTGTATTTGTAATTGTTTTATGCCATTGTTGTAAATGCATTGAAATTCACAAGCTGGAAACATGCTGGCATTAACCATCGTCCCCATTTCTTGTTTAAGTACTCTTGCCTACTTTTGTGCCAAGCCCCTCAACCCTACCTCTCCTTCAGTTAATCCTTCTTTATGTCAGTGACACAGGAGAGGGGGGACTTTGAGACCAGACACAGGTGAGGAAGAATGTTTGGAAGGGGAAAAAAGCAAAGATTTTGAAGCTGGAGAAAGTATTTACATCCGAACGAACCACATCATCTGAACACAGCAATAATCAGCTCAAGTTTCACTCATTTTCTACTTTTGCAAGTTTCAACTCTATTTTAAAACACCCTAAGCACTCCAGAGTAGCTAACAATCAGAATTTTTCTCTACTTAAACTTGTTTGCACCGAGAGCCAAAGCTATTTCCTAGTTTGTGACTTCTTGTTACTTACATCTTGATCTTTATAATGATATACAGTATTCATGAACTCTGATAGTCAATAAATCCCCTTTTTAGTTCAGAACTAAAATACAACAGTCTGGGGTGAGCTTCAGTGCAACTTTATAGACATGCCAGTCTACACATGACAAATCAATGTGTATTTAGTAATCAGACCATTAGCACAGATTTGTTTTGGCCTATAATACAATAAAGTATTTGATACTGGCAACATTATTGAACAATATTATAGAAAAAAATAGCCAACAAAAAAATTGCCAATCAAAAAGTATTCACAAATATCCAACCTGATTTTGTTGCCCTTGTCCTGGTTGCAGACAGGCAGTAGGTCCAGCAGCACCTTATAGAAGTAGCGGAGGGTGAAGTCTATTCCCATCACGGCAACTGCATAACCAGGGGCCATCTGACTGCTGTCGGAAATAACGTGTGGAGGACATAAGCATTTATTGTATTCTAAATATTTTTATGTATCACACTTTCCTTGCTCAGGAATGTATGCTTTTGACAACTTCAAATGAACAAATACATGGTGTTTTTCACTGCTTTTACATTTGAATCTATAACTAAGACATACATGGATCATCATTTTCAACTATTTAAATCTCAAGATTGACAAAATATGAAAAAACACATGATACAAGAGCACCTGGAGCTATCCTATTATCTGGCAACGACGAGGTAAGTAAAGAAAGTGGGCATGTTGTCACTTAGGGCTATACAAGAATACATTGAATTTAAAATGAAATCAAATATATATACATAGAAAAATAGGCCTTTAAAATCAGATAGGGTCTAGTTTTAGCCAAATCAACTCCATTTGATATTTGGATATTATGCTGTAATATCCATAGAGGACTCACCTAGAGGCATGGATAGTGTGGCTGATAGTGACCACGTAACCAGCTCCACCCACATCCAGGTACGGCCCAGTGAAAGTGATGAGGCCCGGGTTTGCCACAGCATGCTGGTACCTACCGCAAAACAAGATCAACACATGTAAGACAACTTGTACTACATTTAAAGCACCAGAACTGATTTAATGAGTGTGATCTATGGTGGTATAAAACTAACTCTGATATTACAATAACATTCTGTGTCAGGCCTTTCCTTTTACTTACAACAAACACAAAGTACTGCACATTCTGTTCTTCATGGAGATGTTCTTATTTTGCCATGACATGTGGCATAAAATTGGCAATTTCCATGGAAACAAACCACAAAACACTTCTTTAGAAATAAAAACTGTCATGACAAGAGAAAATAATAGTCATGAGGCGAGCAGGATGGACCCTCCACCCTCCAAGTGAACTCTAGAGAGAAACGCATTATTGTCATTGCGGTGCAGCGGTGGAATGTAAGGAGTTCTGGTAAGTAAGTTTTAACATCAGTAAGTAAGTAAGTAATCTTTATCTATATAGCGCCTTTCCTACCCCAGAGTCACAAAGCGGTCATTTTCTCTCACTCCACACAGAGCTGGAAGTGAGGTCACTATACAGGAGGCGCATGCCAGACCTATTGTACATGTTTTAGTGGTAGGGGAAAACAGGAGCACCCGGAGGAAACCTAAGCAGACACGGGGAGAAGATACACACTCCACACAGAAAGGCCGACTGGGATTCGAACCCAGGACCTTTTTGCTGAGAAGCGAAAGTGCTATCAACTCACCACACGGATCAATGCGTTTCTGCTGCTGGAATTTCTCCAAGAGGATCATTAAAGTATCCATCTATCTACAGTATGTAGGGGCTGGCGAGCTGCTGGAAGCTCCTGAGCTATTGAAAGGAGACTCTGGTTTCCATTTTTCAACTATTTGTCAAATACTCAGAGAATTTTGCTAAGCGCTATATCACACCAAACAAAATAACTAGTGATAATTGTATTCGAACAGCAGCGAGCCACACTTCCCCCTGTCACCCTGTCCACAGTGAGCTCACCATTGTCGGCGCGTCGGGTCGAAGGCTTTGTCCATCAGAGAGCCCGGGTAAATCCGGAGCACCCCACTGGGCGTTGCTATGTAACGACGCACAATGTAGCAGTTGAGGTTACTCATTTCCATTAGTGTCATCCACTCATCCGTGACGTGACTGGTCGCCATCACCTCGTTCCGGACCGAGGACTGCACACACGAGGACAGGGTTGAGAAATAACAGGGACATATGCAGACTGAAGATATTAAAGCTGGAGTACCCACATTTCAAGCTAAAAAAGTTGAGTTTTATTTCATAGAAACTCATTCTAACTTTAACAGTACAAGTCGTTTTCTCATGCATGTTTCATTGTTCATGAAGACAGTATGGTGTGGTCCAATTTGTTCATTTCTGCAATAAAAGTTTTATTTTTAAAAAAGTTACATGAACCCAGCTTTAAACCCTAAATATTTTTGTGAGCAAAAACTGGAGATCTAGTTATAATAGTTATGTGAAACCAGGCGATGTAGGTATAAAAGGTGACAACATTTCATTAGAACTATACTAGAACTACTACTTATTATTATGAAGATTTGCCTTTTATAGTTTTTAGTTTTTAGAGTTTACAGAGATGAACTAAACAAAAAACTTGCTCAATATTAATCATGTATCTTATTTTATTAAGGTATGACAATGTGCAACAGGTGAAGCATGCAATAATGTTGAATTTTTTGCAAACCAAGCCAGTTAAATTATACAGACCCTATGCTAACTTTTTATACTATTGCATTTCCTAGCAAGGTTTTCCATAGGGATAACTTCCATCTAAAACTTAGGAATGCACAGACCTCTATGAACCTCAACAGGCATGAAAAATCACATATTGGTGCCGTTTTCATAGCAGCGTCCAAGTTTGAAAGGGGTGATGAGGTCAGGGGAGGGGGCTCCTGAGAGCGGCCTGGGAAGAGGTAGTTTGGGACAGGGGCCGGTAACCTCCCGCTCCTCAGAGGGACTGGAATGTACGCACACTGGCAGTGAGACTCCGCGGGCTGCCCAGTTCTTAACAGAGACCTTGATTTAGGCTGAAGGATAATTAGTTTTCACGTGAACGGCCAAGATTTCCAGTAAGAAAGCTGGTCAGATGTAATCAGGAGGATCATTGGATTGGAGCAGAGTTTGAGACGCTCCAATAGAGTCGGACTATGTTTAAACAGTTTCATTTCACATGTTTTTGGTTTATTGGGGTTTAGGAAATAAGAGAGAAGATGTGTGTTTATATGAAAGTTTGGTTCATTTATGCCCTACCAGCTTGTTAACACTAAGACTCCCAGAATTCTGAAATTACTAGAACTCCCAGAGCCGTCATTTTGACTGCTCCCATTTACACCAATGGAATTCTGAGAAATTCCCTCGAAGAATGTTTCATTTTTCAAACCATTTTTTAAACCTTTTTTTTTATATGTTCTAATTATTGCTAAAACTGGTCATTATAACTGCTTCTGAAATACAGCAAAGAAGACTAATGCAAAGTTCTGCTAATGCTAACTTCTGACAGTAAAGTCAGAAAGTGGGTTGCTATGGTAACTAGCACTTGATATTATCTGGTGGAAAATTATTAAAAAAGGTAGAACTCCTCACATTTCAAAAGTAAAAGATAATTCAATTAAAAAAAATAATGAAGTAATAAACTACATTGAGAAACAGAAAGAGTCACGTCCTGTATCTGATCTGTATTCTGTAAATATATAAAGACCACACATTTAAATGAACCAAGTCAACACACTTCCAAAACTTAAAGCCATCAAATTGACAGCTCTGGAAGTTCTAGTGTTAAAAACCTTGATTCTTTATAATTGACAATACGCCGACTCTAATAGTGTTTTCCTTCCACACTTTTCAACTCAACTGTCGACGCCAAAGTCAAACACAAACACTGCTGTGCGTGGCTTTAGTCGAGCTGTGTTTGTATTGTAAACAAAAATGAACCGTAATGACTTCCCCCTTGAGCCTCTCTCCTCATGCGAAGCTGCCCTGGGGGTTGCCAGATCGGGTACCTTGAGGCCAGGATTGGCGATGAGCCTGGTGTTGTCGCTCAGGTAGGCGGTGTAGTGCTCCACCATCCGCTTGGTCTCGGGCTGGCTCAGGTGCTCGTACGGAGAGGAGAAGCTGCCAGCGGACAGCATCACGGTGGGCGACTCTGCGGACGGGACAGAGCAAGTTGTCACACAAAGGAATTGATGGTCAGATGTTTGGCACGGTGTGATAATAGTGTCTTCAAATACCACTGACGGTACCATCAGATTCAGATTCATTTATTTGCCATTTGCAGTAAAACCTTGGAGTATATAGATAAAACAAGGTTAAAAATACAGGACTAAAAAATGCTGGAAACGATTGACACTGAGATTGATAAAACTAAAACTGTTAACAGGAGATTATGTGAGATGCAAAAGAACTGTTGCTTTAGCCTGGACCATACCATCGTACTCATTTCATTTCGTACTAAGGTCTGGATTTTCTCCATTGAGCCCTGTTAGGTGGGAGGGGTTAACTCCGTTTGCAGATTGAAACAATTGGATCCGAGTTTACCATGACATATGTAATGCACCCGAGTGAGGGAGGCATTTAGCATTTAGCCTAGCTTTAGCATTTAGCCTAGCTTTAGCATTTAGCCTAGCTTTAGCATTTAGCCTAGCATTTAGCCTAGATTTAGCCATCTCTTTTGCCACTAACGGAGCGCGTGGGGAGTATAACCACAACATCTTTGCCTGCTTTGACATTTGCTTAACATTTTTGCTAACTGTAAGACTATCATACAAATATTGTATTAACAGCTGGCAATATCTAGTAGTTTAGTCGGTCGTTACTTTCTTAGGAGATCTGAATTTTTCATATACGATACCAATTTACACCAATACTACTCTTAAACCCTGACAGCTGGATTTTGATCAAATGTTAATCTTTTTTGAATTTATAGAGGGACTAGTGACAAAACAGCTTACAGAAGTAGATTAGTCTTCAAATTGGGTGTGATAAATGAGCTCCATTACGCTGAAAGTAGTACAAGATTGTTACATCGAGTTCCACCCACTGCAGTAAATCCATAAACAAGCTTTGGTGGTCTTACCGACAGTGGCGAGTTGTTTGAAGTGCAGGCAGGAGCTGGGCTGGCCGAGCAGGTCCAGGCGATGGTAGAGCAGTTTGGAGCTGGGAGCTGTGTTCATGTTCTTCAGCTGCTTCACCGGGATCTCCGGCTGCACGAAGACGATGCAGAGGATGAACGACGTATCCTGGACCTGGACCCAAGAAAAACACCACGGTTCAATATCACAAATACGTGTTTTTAGCTCCGGTCTCGTTTCAGTCACCGAATGTGTCCTGCTGTGATTGTTAAAATAATCTATGGTGAGAAAATAATGATTGTATGTGTACTGTAGGGAAAAGCTCAAACCAGGGATAGGAGTTGAGAATCAGCATAACTTTTATATTTCGCAAGAAGTTTAAATAATTACTTAGTTTTATTATCCCTGCTTTGTTAAGTTCAATTGAATATTAATAGGGAATTCTATTCTTATTTTTTTGTATTAAAATGAAAAAGTAAAAAGACAGTGAGTTTTGTTAATGTTCCGGTTTGGATCAGATCGCCACTTGTTTCCTTTATTAACATCTGTCCATATCTTAACATCTAGCAGACTGAAAAGCATATGCAATTATTGTCTATTTGAGGACATTGAATTCGGTTTTAATTTAGTGTAACTCCTTAAGAATATGCAATTCTCAACAAAGGACAAACACAAATGGAAAGATTAATTACGGCCACATTGACATCCTTTTCATAACGGCAGAATTGATGGCGGCCTGCTTTTCTTTTTAGATAATAGAAAAAGGTTGAAAAACATACAGGGTAATGGGTAGTCTGACACTATTAAAAAAAAGGAATCAAAATAAAAGCAGGAATATCTACAAAGCTTAGGTTTTTGACATTTCACTGGCTGGAAGTGGCTGGAAGGACAGTACCGTGAGTAAATCGTTTGGTTAATGTCGAGGCTTCACCCTAATGTGTTTTTTGGAGTCACAACTCAGACAGTGACATTGCACAGCACACACTCCCCAGTCTTCCCATTCCTCCAGTGTTATTGCAAAACATCACTTATGCACTCCCAATAGGTCCAACAGGGAACCACCCATTATAATGTTTTAAGCAGAAAAGTCAAGGAAATATAGAAAAAACAATGCATTGAGAAATTAATCGAAAGTTGGCTAGCAGGAAAAGGCAAAGTATTTATTTTGGTCGTTTTTACATAAGATTTGGCAATAAAACAGGCAATAGATCTTTAGAAGCACAGCTAACAAACTCAATCTTGTATTAAATAAATAGGAAGCATGACTGACCACTTTAAAGGTTCATTATGCAACGTTTTATGTGAAGAAAGTTGATATATTCATGCATATTTGACCTTGTAGTAACTCTCTATCACCTTGTAGATCCTTAGATGCTATAGGATCAAATGTTTGGATGGTTTTGTCAGCTGTGGGACCCCCGCACCAGACACATGTACCCACAACCATGATAAAAAAGTAACGGCCACTGGGTAAAGGTAAAACACCCAAAAATAGAAAAATAAAAGCATGAAAAAAGTTACATATTGTGTTTGAAAAAGGAAATAAAAAGTCTCCAGAAACAAAAAAGTGCTTGTGGACAAATACTTTTACTTGAAACCCCCTACAGCGGTTGAGAAGCAATAAGTTATAAAAGCTACACTGCAAAAAATGATATGAGGTAATAATGGCTTAAATCAAGTGGTTTTTATTGTAATTTGGGCACATTCTGACTGTCTTAAAGCCAGATTTGCCAATGGGAAAAAGCAATTTAGTTTCATTTAAAGAACTGTTGCTTTATTTTCTCATTCCAAGGTCATTTTGCTTTGTCCCATTGGCAGATCTTGTTTAATGGCAGACAAATAGAGATACTTTTTTAAATATTTGACTTATTTTACATCACGTTTTGCAGTGTAATAAAGGAATCTAGAAAAAGTGGAAATCAGATACTTTTGGCATGTTTTAACAAGAAACGTGTAACATAATTATTTGGTAGAAACAGTATTTGATTATGCAAGAGCCCTGTTGTCGTGACTTACCAGTTTCCAGGCGTAGCTGACGTTATAGGCATCTTTAGTGTTGTCCCTCAGTCTGTTCATGTGCCAGGACAGCGAGGAGTTGACCGGCACGGAGATGATCTGACTGCCCAAAGGAAGGCTAAACCAAAGAAAACGCTTGTTAAAACTCTACAAAATTAAATATAAGATTTTTTTCCCCACTTGTCACAGACTTCACGTTACCTGAGAATATTCTGTCGAACTGCGGGGAATCCTGGAATGTTCTCGTAGTGAATGATGTCTGTGTGCAGGGGAGCCTCCGTCATCAGGTACGGCCGGGTCAGGGACGGGTGCATCAAAGTGTAGCCTGGAAAATAAGATATCAAATCACATCACATCACATTGTATTTCGATGTGGTCCTGTTTACAAAGAATGGAACCGAACAGTCAGTGCGATAAACAATCTGCATTAGAGCAAGATGACATTAAACAGGTGAAACTCAGTAAACAGACTTTGGAACAATATAGTTTAAAAGTCAATTTATTTCTCTAGTTGTGAATTCTGTAATGTGAAACTAGTATATGACAGTATTATTCCAGGCAAAGTGAGATATACCAAGCCTTTTTTTTTGTTATAATTATTATTTTTTAAACACACACACTTTGCATTTAGTCTACTGCATGTATTGGTTTCACATTTCACAAGTTGTACTCAGACTGTACAATAAGTCACTTTAAGTCACTTGCATTAGGAGTAAAAAACCTGCACTACTATTGTCACTGAATCTTCTGCATTCCGTCTGTGGTTTAAGATGATGAAGACTCACCTTTGTTGTCTATGAGGAAGGTGTAGGAGGCCAGCGAGTCCTGATAGTACGTCACATCCTCCAGAATGTAGGCCAGGTTCACGTCCACCCCGACCACGCCCAAGAGCAGGTTTCCAAAGTAACAGGGCCGACTCACGGTCATAATGAACCCTGGAGACAATCAATGTAGTTTTAGCTTTATAGCAATTCACAATATATGTATAATGAGATATGGAGAAAACAAAAATATGCATAAATTTGTATTTTTTATTTCTTTCTACTGTGAAAAAAGATGACAAGCAGGCTTTTGTTGGTGTACAAAACGTAGGCGACTCCTTCTTCCAGAGGATCTTACACATGTATAAAAAAAAAAATCACTTCAAAACAGATCATGTAATTAAGAGAATCATACAGGCAGTTTTTCAAAGGACTTAAAAATGGAACCTGCCAACTGTGACTAATTTAAATTGTGATAAATAGTTAAATTTCCTGTTGTCCTAGTGCAGAGGCAGGCTACCGTCGGTCAGAGCACCACACTGCTCACCGTCTCCCATGGGGTCCGTGTAGGGCAGGCTGAAGCGGGCCAGGTCGATCATGCGGTTGGGCAGGTTGATGTAGAAGCGTCCCACGGTGGTCTCCAGGTTACTGAGCTGATTCAGGACCATCATGCTCCCCTTCACCACGGGCATCATGGAGCCGCTCACCGAGCCAGAGGACGACACGGCCAGAAAGCGCTCGCGGTCATACGTCCGCTCCATGCCGTACTTCACAGAGTTCTGCTCGGCCAGGTCTCTGAGGAAGGCCAGCTCCTTGAGTCCAGTCACGCCCTCTGACAAAGAGACACAGGAAGACATTACATCAGGAGTCCATACATATCCAAAGTCTGCTGCCATGAACAGAATATAATATCTTAAAGAACAATATAATTATACTATGTTTAGCTATTGAAAGCTGAGGTGTGAAGTATTAATATAAGTAGATACAGGTAGAAAATAAATGCACAGCAACTCCATATTCAGTCTACCACCATGAGCTGAATTAGTTTTGTTTTCTCAAATTTGAAAAGTACAGGCTGCTTGAGTGTGATTCTGTAGTGGTACAATGAAATCATATTATTACAGGACTGAGACAGGGGCAGTTAGATCTTTGTGCCATAAGTTCCTGCTTTTGGCATGGATGGATCTAAAATGTGTACTTATGAGGAGGGAACAATGGGAAAAAAATGTCACGTGATACATCTCCTGAAAATGTTGCATGAACCAAGAAGCTGAAACTCATGAACAGCTAATAAAAAACTACAACCATTACTTATTTTACTGCATGACAAGTTTATAGGACCTCACCCTTTCTCAAATATGTATGGGAATAGCAAAACTTTAATCTTAATCTTGATTTTTGCGTATGGTAAAAAGTAAGCAACAATTTAGATAGATTAATTTGTCCTTTTTAAATAGACCTTTTCTGCATGATCCAGTATTTGTGCATCGTGGACAGCGGCAGAAACAGCCGTGAAAATGATACAGACTTCCTTTCAAATATGCCATACACGCTCAAACTTGTGATAATATGTAATAAATCCAAAAGGCATTCATTGCATTATCCCACTCCCAACTGTCAAGAGACAAACCCTGGGATCATAACATCAGTTAATCCATCATTGGTTTTGGAGGGAATAATCCGTGGAGATAACAGAGCAGCGCAAACACTGAGTGAGTATGACTTTGCGGAGCAGGGTCATGTCGAGGAGAGGCTGTCACCGAGACGCCTCCTTACAGCTGTCATTTGCCAGTGTGCAATCATTGAGTGGATTACGGCACAATCCCTGTTTAATGCCCAGGCTTTGCCCCACTGATCAACATTCGCTGTGGCCATGGCCGTTTACAAGGTGAATACAAACAGAGGCGCTGCACTAGATTCTCATGGTGGAAAATGAAAAAGATGACAGTTAAATATTGTATGAATAACAAAACACAATAGCCTTCACTAATCTACAAGATCAGGAAATGACAAATTATACCTGCTTCATACCTCTCCAAATACACTTCATCTAGATGTTTTATTTGACATTACAATAGGACAAGATGAGCCACTTTGGATCTCAATAATGTTTAATATATCCCAGTCTGCCAGAACTGCAGACTGGGTTCACAAGCTGCCAAGGGTAATCCAAACCGTCAGATAGTTTAAATTATAAACATTGCTTCAAAAAAGCAAAACTAGAACTCATTAGTGCTTTGTGCATAGTGTGTTTTACCATCTTGTATCATTATGTATTTCCTATTGATTGAAATTAACCTGTAATAATCTGTCAATTAATACTACTACTCTAAAAGTTAGATCCATCCATCCATTTTCTTCCCCTTTATCCATTTCTGGGTCAGGGGGGTGGCAGTCAGAGCTGCACCTAGTACACAGAGCAACAGCCCCTCACTGATCCTACTGCAGGTAGTGAGTCCACAAGAGCCTTGATTAATATTAAAAAATATATATTAAAATGCAGGTGAGCAAAAAAGCGCTCAAGTGACAAGGGATTGGAGACCTGTTTGAATAATCCACAGTTTTTAGAAGAACAGAGGAGAAAGACTTGCACAATTACTACGCGCCCTTGAGCTTTGCACCCAAAATACAAATGTTGTGTTGAATAGTAATGCAAATAAACTATAGAAACTGCATATTTCAGGAGTGCTCTTCATCACACTGGGTCCTCTGTCACACCCGACGGACCGAGGTGGCCGCTTTGAAGTCTCTCTCTCCTTAGATGTACCTCATTTCCATTTACTGATGCAAAAATCATTTATATTAATAGTGGACGTTGCGAGCCCAGTGCAGGCGAGTGTGTGTGTGTGTGTGTTTGTGTGTGTGTTTGTGTGTGTGTGCGTGGAGGCAGATGGCAGGCTGGGATCATAAAAGGGAATGGAGAAGCATGCCCACTTGAGGACAAACAAACAAAAGCCTTTGAGGTTGCTGGAGCACCTCTCTAGCCCTGTACACATTGTGCCCAAGAATTGAACAAAGGCGATATGTACTTTTTCATATGTTTTGCAATAATTATATTCAAGAGATGCTGTGATTTTAAACAGGAAAGGTATGTCACTTCAATACATAAAACAACAATAAGTGAAATTAAATAAGATGAAACTGGATATAGCTATTTTGCAAAAAACAGATTTACTAAATTTGTAAACAAAAAAGTTATTTATGAATCTGGACTTTTAAACTAAGCTCTTAAGTTAATCAATGACTCTTCTGGCCCCTGGAAAAGCCATGTTTCAGCTTCTTCCCTAGTCCATTGAGATGCAAGACATCTCGCTTTGCTAACAGTTTAAACAGAGCACTTTAATGATCGTACATGTATTGAAACCGTTTGAAACCGTTTGTTTCCTGCACTTTTAATCTTTTTGTCTTGTGCACACTGGGGACATTAAGCAATTGTATTCCAATGTGGTTTTACTGCAAATAGCAAATAAACTGAATCTGAATCGGAGGTGAAATGTTGCAGACTTTAGTGCAGATGTATCTCCAGCTGGATGCACGTTTGCAGACTCACCGTTCATGAGTGCATAGGTGAGGATCATGACGGAGTTGTTGAGCAGCCGGTTCTCTTCTCGAACCACGCTGAGCGTGGCTCTCTTTTCCTGCTCAGACGACTCCCGCGACGTGATGCCGGACGACAGGTACATGATCACCATGTCTGTGGCCGTCACCGAGTTAAACACTGGAGAGAGACAAATGATCAGTTATGCCAATTCCAATGACAATGAGAGCGAGCCAGTCCATTCCTTCCATAATGTCACTCATCCTGATAGCAACATGGATGAGTTCCTGTGGTCAAGGTCAAGACTTTTTTACTTTATTTAGCACACGACTTCTTAGACTGTGTGTATTTGGGCACATATAGGCTAATCACACATACTGATTTCAATAGCACTGTGGAAATGCAATAACTTTTTGTGGCTGATCTTGCCAAAAGTATGCTTAAACAGTATGCAAAACTGCACTTGGATTTACAATTACTGTTACTATTACTTCTGTAGGACCCAAATAGTCAGAGGAACATTTAAAACTATGCCATGCATCTGTGCAATAACATGCACTAATGATGTGCCATAAGAGACTGCATGTGTGCCGTCACTTTACTTTAGCCCAAAGCCTCATGTTGCCAACATGTATAGTAGTGTTTTCAACATGTATATTTGAGCCCACAGAGGGATTGACTTATTACTTCACTTTTCCTGCACCAGAGTATCACAGATTTATCTACAGATGAATACTTACAAATATATATTTCTTTGCACTAGAGTGTACAGGTTTATTCCTTTTATGTATATCCTTTTGAGATTTTTTTTATAGAGTATAGAGTTGCGCTAGCCTGGTCTTACCATACCATCATACTAATTTCATTTAGTACTAAGGTCTGGATTTTCTACATTGAGCTTTGTTAACAAGTGGGAGGGGTTAACTCCTTTTGCAGATTGAAACGATTGGATCTGAGTTTAGTATGTAATTAGGGTTGCCAACTTGAGAACAAAAAAATAAGGGACACCATTTGGGTGGATCGGGTTGAGCACTTTTTAGTCCTAATTTCAATCTAAACAGGAATCACGGAATTTCATAATCCCATTTTTAGAATGTAATTTATTGGCTACATATAAATTTATTGGCTACATATAAAAATCAAAAAAATTCTTAGGCAAAAAATAAATGTCATAAATAGGTGGAACTCTTTGGCTGGTTAAGGACTTCATGCATTCTTATTAGTAATAAAACATATAAAAAGACAAACGCTGTAACATACATTATTTATGTATGTTACAGTAAAGACCATTTACTGTAAAAGAAAAAAAGAAAAACATGGATACTTTGAAAAAACTCACAAATGTTGAAATCAAAGTCTGTAGCAGTTAGATATGGTCATTATTTATAGTGTCTGAGAGTTTAGTGCGTGTACATGGCTTTAGTAAAAGCTATTTTTTGTTTACAAAGCTGGTATTGACATTGGTTGACGGTCCCTAAGCGCTTTTCTCGGCGCTTGCAGTGCACTGGATTCAATGGATTTCTCTGCATTAAAAACAGCGCATTGGATTTGAAAAATCAACATAGAGGTGATAATTTTAGCAAATTACTTTTGTTTAACAAAGTAACTTCCGTGAGCTATTGACCGCGGAAGTCCGAATCTGGGAATATGACGCTACTTTACCAGACTTCTGCCAGGATGATGCTGCGGGCACAGCCCCCATAGATCCATGCACGGCCCACGCTGTCACTTGTCAACAGTAAGGGTAAACCCATGGATGTGATCAAGCCTACGCCCCCTTTGACACTGTTTGGCCGAAAGGTAGACGCTTAAACTGTGATTACTGTGTGTGCGTGTGCGTGTGTCGCTTGTATGACATGCAGTGAGTGAGTGATGCATTTAAGGCGACTCTGAAAATACGGGACAAAAGCCGTCCCGTATCAGTTCAATACGGGACGCACATAGTTTTTCTATAATACGGGACAATTCCGTATTTCAAGGGACGGTTGGCAACCCTATATGTAATGCGCCCAAGTGAGTGAGGCCTTTAGTATTTAGCATTTAGCCTAGCTTTAGCCATTTCTTTGCCTCTAATGGAGCCCATGGGGAGTAGAGCCGCAACATCTTTGTCAGCAATGAAACTTGCTAAACATTCTTCTTGCTCCGGCTTCAATTTCTTGATATATGAAGCCGAACCAGAACGGATTACTTTACTATTACATTCGCAGCCATTGCCAAACTACAACCAGCAAATTCGTCGCAAACTCTTGATGTCACTGAATGGTTGGATGAGATACAACCGAGGTAATCGCAGCCACTAGTTCAGATCCAGACGTACATGTAGGAAATGATAATTGACCGGAGATTACAGATGGCTAAGACCAGGCTAGACTTAATACTTTATCTTGTGTTGTGTGCTCCTCATTTCTACTGCTATATAACTTCCCATAGTGGGACGAATAAAGGATCATTTAATGTAATGTAATCTGTAATTTTCATTTATACATTTAATCTTAAATGCAAGCTTTTGTAGCTTTTCGCCCTTTTCTTACTCGTGGGGTGCTTGGTGAGGCTGGTTGTGTTGCGCAGCACTTGAAAGGCCTTCTGGAACCCTGCTGCGTGCTGCGTGTAGCCATCAGATGCTTTTATATTGGAGATGAAGGTGGCCATCTTCCTCTTGGTCTCACTAGTGGCTGGAGAGAGCAGCGATTTGTAACACTGGTCTAGAGAACAGGTCCGAACTGTGTCTGCCACTGACAAAATGGATATCTGAACAAAAGGAGATGAAAACAGGTATTGTTTTAGTTGAAAAGCTGTTCAACTCTTTGCAAGCACTTTTGATGATTTCGATGAACAATTGATTGAAATGCATTGACAAAATTATGTTTTTGAAGGCCATGGACAAGTTGGGTAAGTAGAAAACATTTAAAATCTGTACAAATCCTTAATATCACAATTGCTTTTGCCAAATAAAAAAATCTACATGTATCTGGCAGGACATTTCAGATGGATTTCTAAAGCAAGTTAACAATATTAAAGGAACAGTATTTTTAATTCTATTTCAGGTGACATGTGTCTTACTTTATCGTGCTCGTCGATGGAGTTCAGAATAACCAGGGCAGAGTCTTTGGCGATCTGAAGCTGGGTGTCAGTGACGGAAGCTCCATGGTCGACCATCACCACAATGTGTTTGGACTGAGGCCGGACAGCGGAGACATACACAGGCCTGGAAAAGACACACACTGTAAATGACAATAGAGAGGTTTTTTATCAATTAAATGCAATAAATACACCGGATTGTTAGCTTGAGAAACCTGATTAGGACCAGTTTTTATTTTTTAAATCTCCCACAGGCCAGCACCGAGTCTGGTCTCCCGGCTCCCCGATTGTATTTCCATTCAGTTGCCGTTACAAATACACGCTCATTCATCCTGAACTATTGTACATGTTTTAGTGGTAAACAGGAGCACCCGGAGGAAATCTGCACAGACGTATTGAGATTATGTAAACTCCACACATAAAGGACCTCTGCCAACAAGGAATCAAACCCAGGACCTCCTTGCTGTGAGGCCCAAAGGTGAAGTAAAGCCAGTGTAGGGCAGCAACTATTGGATATTGGCTTGGCTCATACCTAAGATTATTTACAATGCTACACATTTACATTTACATTTTTACTACAGCAGGTTCTCCCTTTGATTTTCATTTGAGGATTTTAATTACCAACCAATAACACAATAATTAAAAAAGCGACACAAGTTCATAACTAAAACCAAAAGCTAAAAACAACACACAAAATGGTGATGTACAAACTGCTAAATTCAAAAGTTAGGGTACACAAGACACGGGCGGCACGGTGGCTGAGTGGATAGCACTCTCGCCTCTCAGCAAGAAGGTCCTGGGTTCGAATCCTGGCCGGACCAGGGCCTTTCTGAGTGGAGTTTGCATGTTCTCCCTGTGTCTGCGTAGGTTTCCTCCGGGTACTCCGGTTTCCCCTACCACTAAAAATATGCACAATAGGTCTGGCATGCGCCTCCTGTACTGGCGACCCCGCTCCCATCTCTGTGTGGAGTGAGAGGACAAATGCCCAAAAAATAATAACAATTGTAAACCGCTTTGTGACTCTGGTCTGTGAAAGGCGGTATATAAATAAAGATTACTTACTTACTTACTTACTTATCATGTGTAAAGGCCAAACTGAATACAAATGATGGCTATTCAGTGACATGATTTTGGCCTCTTTGGAATGGACAATATCACGTTATTATCTCAGTCCTTGTCACCACTATTGCATTTATTATAGCATTTGTGCGTCCTTACCAGTTACATATCTAGAGCCAATGCAACCACAAACGGCAAATTTACAAAAACCTCTGTCCATTGAATCAAAATAGCTAAACAAAAAATCCAAAGTTTTTTCTCTCTAGTTGAGCGTGTTGGAATGTCTCATTTTCTTTGCATTACGTAGATCATCACGGAGGTGGAGTGTCTGTGTGTGGTCTGTCTGTTAGCAGAACAACATAGCTGATGTTCTTACAAAGACTTATTCAAACTTCAGACACGTAAAGCAGCCCCATTTCTCTCATGGCTTTAGGCCAGACCTCTGACAGGGGAAGAGGGAAGGAAGCCAACACGCATGCGGACAATAAGAATGACCCAAACGGGCAGTTAGGGGGAGACAAAAGACGCATCAAGAAAATAAAAGAGGCAGAAGAGAGACGTCTTTCAGCAGTGGCAGTGTAAACCCACAATGCTGAAGGTGTGAAATACCAAGGGGTTTATTGGCACTGCAAATTCCTGCCAAGGACATGTGTGGACCGTGTGTGTGAAGGCGCCATGCCACCGACCTTCTTGTCTGCAGCTGGGGCAGGTTCCAAGGAGTTTGTGAAATGTGCCATGTATACACAGTATCTATACCAGGGATCTCCACGCTAAAAGTAGCTCACCAGCCCCTTTCAGGTAGCTCCCCAAAGGATTTAGAATTTAAAACAGGATCCTAAAAGAATCGATTTTCAGTCATTATATATCTATTATAAGTAAAAATTAATTATGGTATGGTATAATTACATGTGTTCTCCATGTGTGTTCTATCTTCCCTTAATTATTGCAAAGATCTTTCTAACAACTGCAAAAAAGGAGAAGCTATTCGCCTCTTCTGTTGTATAAAAGTAGCTCCTGACTGAAAAAGGTTGGAGACCCCAAATCTATACACTATTCTTATCAGCGATGCGTGTACTTATTTGGGGTTTGTGAGCAAAATTATATTAGTCCACAAACTCTCCAGTGGGGCTCAGGTTTGCTCCATTATGAGATGGATTCATTATTATTCGGGTTTATTGTCCATAGAAACAGAAGTATTTCAATAAGAAGAAAATGTCCTCATTGTGGGACAAATAACTGGTTCAATGGTGATCATGAATGACCTACATACCTGCTGCGGTGCTCGTAGGTCCCCTTGCATTGGAACTTGTGGGCAGGAAACACTGTGAAGATGCCCTCCTCTGAACTGAAATACTGCCATTTGATCCCAGGGTTGGACTTCAAGTTGTCGGCCAACACTAAGAACAGACAGAGAATGGACAATGGATGAAAGATACCAGAATAATAATAATGATAATTCATTTTGTCTCCTAGGCGGCTTTCTTGACACTTAAGATTGCCTTACGTACAAGTAAAAAGAGCATTTTAAAAACAGTTAAAATACAGTTGAATTAAAACTGTAAAAGCAGCATGAACAGAGGAGGGTGTAGTTATGGCATAAGTGAGTAGGCTTGTCTAAACAGATGAGTTTGTGGGTGGATTTAATAATAATAATAATAATCAAATATCGGTTTTATATAGTGCCTTTCAGGACACTCAAAGACGCTTCACATTATTCTTTCACTCCATACACAGCGGTGATAAACTACGACTGTAGCCACAGCTGCCCTGGGGCACACTGACAGAAGTATGTACCATCGGCCCCTCCGACAATCACACACACTAGACTCATTCTAGGCAATGTGGGTGAAGTGTCTTGCTTAAGGACACAACGACAGCTTGGCACTTTACCGCCGCAGGCACTTTATCACATGGTGTTCCCAAAGGTCTCCCATCACAGTACTAAACAGGATCTGCCCTGCACAGCTGCAGAGGTCTGACGGGATCTGAATTCGCGTGAGAGTGTGGATTTGAAGAGTGTGAGTGATAGTAGTAGCAATTAAGACACATATTTGAAGCGGTTTTGGGGTAAGGTTGCCTGAGCGTACCCCACAGCGTGCCTAACTACTTCAGTATGGCAAACCGCTTGGATCCTGGTTTGTGAATGAATGCTTGTTTTGTCACTTGAGCCCCTTCATATGTGTAGGTCTGCACTGAATTGTGAACACACCTTTCTTTGTAACCAGGCTGACACATAGTAAATATGTAAATGACCTTCCCATTCACACCTCTACTCTGCTTGAATAATTTGGACTCACTCGGCCAAGAGAAACTTCGACCGCTTATTTTTTTTTTTTGGACATTTCTGTAACAGTATAAAACAAACAACAGGAGAAATAGTCAGTTGCCAGAGCTGAAGCCATACAAAAAGCTAATTTAAAAGTAAAACTAACAAACACAATAGCCTTATCTAAACCTCACTCTAGTTTGAGCAGCACTGACAGAGTTTGTTGTTAGTTTTTTTTCTTTTTTTCAGAAGAACAACATATGCAGTCCTATTTATTTTCTTAGCAGCTGTGCAAAGCTCTGCTCCAAAATTGTGTTATTATTGAGATTTGAGTTTGAGTGTTCCCAAGTTGCGTTTCAAAAGTTCTGTTAATTAGGCCTGAAATTATTCCCAGACGTCCTGGCAACCAGCCCTTGATGACAACTGGATCCAAACAATCCCAAACTGTGGTTTTCGCATCGGAGTCCCATGCATTAGACCTTAGAACGCGGCGAGCTTACTTTCTCCTCGCTCGGATAGAGAAAAATGGCCACAGACAGTCAGGATAGTTCATAACATCGCACTATTACTAATGTCTTTCTTTTACTTAGTCGGTCTTGTACGTTATAAATCACGAGTGGTCGGTCAGCTCATCTATCTCAGGAGGCCATATAAACAGGAACCACTCACTTGTGTTGACACTGGGAGAAGAGCTCTGTAAACATTGTGTCAAAAAGCAATGGTCCATTGTTGCCATTAATGTAGAGGTCTCCCACTCAGGATGGGACGCTGAAAAGTCTGAATAATGTGAGCAAAAATACAGCATGGGAGCAACATTTACACCTAATGAAGACAAATATAAAGTAGTGAATGCTAGAATTAAGCATATCTTGATTCCTCCATTAGCAAATATGTGTTGTATTGCCTTTTTTTTGACAAGACTGTTTGGAGTGCTGCTTTTTCAAAGTATATAGATATATTACATTAGTTTTCTGTCCAATAACTCAAGCAGAATTGTACCAAGTCTTTGTATAGTATTTCTATACAACGCTGAGCATCACTTGAGCCGAGTTATTTATTTAGTAGTAGTAGTAATCTTTATTAATATACCGCCTTTTCACTGCACGTCGGAGTCTCAAAGCGGTTTACAATTGTGATTTTTGGGAGTGGGGGTGCCAGTACAGGAGGCACATGCCAGACCTATTGTACATATTTTAGTGGTAGGGGAAACCGGAGTACCCGGAGGAAACCTACGCAGACACGGGGAGAACGTGCAAACTCCACTCAGAAAGGCCCTGGTCCAACCGGGATTCGAACCCAGGACCTTCTTGCTAAGAGGCGAGAGTGCTATCCACTCAGCCACCGTGCAGAGTATTTGATAGTAGTTGTTTTGAAGTAAAGTTAAATTACTCCTTGACAAGTTAATAATACCTTATTCAAAGTGTGTTGTGCAAATGATAGATTTATGGCATTTAATTAGCAATGCAGGAATATGCAGTTGTTGAGCCTGAGGCGTATTTTGGTATTTAACGTTCATAAACACTGCGGCAGAGTTTGACATGTTTAAACTCTTTGACATGAAATGGTTAACAGCACTAATCCATTAGGAAACACCATTTCTTTTCCGCAATAATAAAATAAGCTGGCTTTGACCTAAAGCTACAGCAATAATATAAAGTAAGTTTCATTCATGTCAAGTTTTTACTATTATGTAAGAAAGCCACCTGCAGGATCAATGTTTGTGGTAAGAAGAAGTACTCAAACAATGTGTGTTTATTTAAATGAAATAATCTACCAATGAAACATGTTTTAGTTCGTTCAGGTTACATGGACATCGACTTAGATCTGTTCTTTCTGCAGAACAAACATGTCCAGGAGCCGACAGCCTGCCATAAAATCTGTTCAACTTTATGCATATAAGTTTTCAGATCTCTAAAGGACAGGACAGGAGAGGAATGCAGGATCCAATATTGCAATTTGCCATTTGCTACCATTCATATCAGGGTTCATTTAGTTTCCCAACTGTCTGTATGCATCTTGCTGCCCTATAGCTCTACCTCTACGTCCTCATCCCTCATTCCCCTGTAGCTGCTTGTTTAGACTGGCCTAAGACAAATGAGACTAACCCTAACCCCGTCCTGTGAGCCAGAGAGGTCACTGAGTGTGAGAGAGTGAGGAGCAGTAACTGGTCCATAAGAAAAAAAGGAAAGAAATCGATGATGTGTCCAATGAATGGCTGTCATTAAGTATGGTGCGAGGAGAGAAAAGAAAGTTGGGGAGGGTGGGAATGTGTAGGAAAATATCCAAATGGGGGAAAATCTGTAGAGGAGTGAAATGATGTATTTAAGGAAGGGTGGAGATACACGTGTTGACGTTTCTGTGGTGAATTGATGAAATGGGATGTGTGGATAATTTAAATAAACATTGTCAACATAGATCAGGCAGCACTTTGATACATGTAATTATGTGTTTATTTACTTTATTTGATGTATTGTGGAAGACTAATGAAATCAACTGGTGCAAGAGTTGAAACCAACCCAAATATATGTTCATCAAATCCAAAGGTTCTCCAAACTTTGGACCAAGAGCCCTGTTTGAATTGATATATTGATGCTAGTTTATAAAACTGAAATGACAATAAAAATAAGCCACTTAGCAATTCATATAAATGACTTGGAAAGAATCCCTCAGGTCGTGTGTGAGTATTGGGTCAGTAAACATTGACATTGTGACGCTGCGCCTGTATTTACTAAAAAGAGAAATCTTTTTTTGCTTTGAATAAACAGTGGCAACAAAGTATGATTTCAGAACTTCAAAGTCCACCTGAGCCTGTTTCATCTTCAAACATAAAAAGAAAAAAAAAACACTTGACGTGAAGCCTGGGCCATTCTAAAAACCCAAATCATTCTCAACATTAAACGCTCATCATTGATTTCATTTGGTTTCGACACACCGCCTGATGAAACACTTTTTAATTAGAAAAAAAAAACCTGTTTCCATGGCAACGCCTGCTCTTTCTCTTTTTTTTATTTTCTTTATAACACAGCAAATTTTCCCGAGGCAAAACTGAACGTGGAGAGAATTTTTTTTCGAAGAGCTGCAAACCTGAGTTGAGGTCTCGTCCCGGGTTGAAGGCTCGGCTGTTGACGTTTGGAGACAGCCTGTCACAGCAGATGGTCTTGGACACGTTGGCGTTGAAGTTTCCATCGAACCTAAACACGCACAGACGTAAACAACGTGAGGATTTATCGACCAAATCCCGTGTAAACAAAGCATCAACTTCTAAACAAAAACATGCAAACTTCTGACCGTAAGCTAATGATGATGTTACGGGGATATACATGAAACATCTGTTGAAACTAATAGTCTTGATTTGATTGGACCAAAACAGAGCCAGAGGCAACATCCTCATCTGTGCGGCAGGCAGAGTATAAAACAGGAGTTATAGGACTGTTGAGCGAGTAATACTTTCCATTTCCACACAACAACAAAAAATGTTCCCCCTGAATACATCTGACAGTGAGTGCGCATTGTTAAGTCTCGTGTTAACCCTTTGCTAAGAAAACAATAGCGCAAAGTTGTGTCTTAAGCCAGTATAGAATGAGTAGATGCCAATTGAAGATAAAGTAGAGGCAGATTTTATTGTCCCAAAAACGAAATGTATTTTGTCACACTGCAACTCTGACTTTATCTGACTTATTTACTACTTACTACTTTTTACTGGAAAAGTAACAATAGATTAAGATGAAGAGATTTCAGTGTTGCATCACAAGTCATAGAACAGTAGGAAAGAGGAGCACACGCCACAAGTTAAGTGAACAATAGCTATACTAATTAAAATAAAAACAAAACCTCAAGCTCTAGCATCAATAACAAGTATAAAATCTCTATCTTGAAAATAATAATAATAAAAAAGAAGTACCACATTTTTACATTTGGCAAAATAAGAGGCTAGTATAAAGTACGGTGCATTCTAGCGCAAGCCGTGTGTATTTATATGTTAGCATCTGCACATCAGTTGTAATCATTGACAATCCTAAGCATGCATTGTCAATGGAAACTCTAGATATTTTATTCTATTCAGTAAACAAGAACGAAGACAGAAGTAATAATAGAAATAGGACAGTAAAAACATTGGCCAAATAAAATAAAAAGGGACTTGAGGTTACTATTCAATCAAGAATAACCAATATCTTTTTGAGAATGTTTTATTGACTTTATTGCCAGTGAAGCACTCAATAAAAATGGTTTACTTTTTAAAGGGCATGTCATAATATCGTGTGGACTTTTTTATTTGCAAGTTGCCCTTGGAAGATCAAGTTGGCCAGCAGGATACACGCCAGACAAAGTACTGTCTATTTATAAGACTTCTGGCACGTGTCATGTGCACTGCCCTTTCTTAAAGTTCCCCACTGTTGGACGGCATGGAGCTACTCACTTCTACTGCTGAAAAGAGGAGGTGGAAAGATGCAAACCATAGTAAACGGAATGCATACATTAAATATATACAGTACATATATTTAGGATTTTTTTTGATAATGTATTGCAGTTGTCAAAGTTAGTATTCATTTTGATACACTTTCTCGGAATATACAAATGAATATATATATTTATTTTCCAAACTTTGTGATAATATATGTTTGACAAGGAAGGGCAAAAACAGTTGTGTTTAACTGAGATATTATCTGTATTCTAAACAAAATAACAAAAATAAATTAACTTATTGTGAATATTTCTATTTTGTTTTCTTTTAAATAGGGCTGAGGACATTTGGGCCCTTTTTTAAGTATTGCGATACCTTTGACAATTTGATTTAATACCCAATATAAATAAGCTACAACTCATTTCGAAGTTCAGAATAAGTAGAATGCACTTTTATCACAATATGTTTTATCTTAATATATATAACACGCAGGATAATTTATGGAAAATCGGCTCCAACCAGTCATTCCTCATCTTTAAATGCATATTTTTCTGTCATTTGAACGAATTACTTATTGCCATCATTTGTTTTACAATATTTTCTATCCTTGTACAGTCCCCTTGTCTACACGCATATATGTGTTAAAAAACATGTGATTATTTTCATTATACATTAGAATAGAGGTGGGCTATGTGCTAGCTGTTCAACTCTGCACCAGGACTCCGCACACACACTCATATGCATATCCACGCACACACACACACAAACAAACACACACACACACAAACACACACACACTCGTAAACAGGACGGGACCCTCCTCTGGCACAAGCTCAGTGCGGTGAGTGACAGGAGCTCAGATGTTTGAACTTGGCTCATCCATAAAGTCCCACAAGGCCGGAGTCATTACTATTCTTCTCCCTCATTTGCATAGACGGCCAGCGAGCGAGAGAAAGAAAAAAGTGTGTGCGCTAGATAAAAAATACATTTGCACAGTGCTTTGAATGCTACATCAAAACATATTTGAGAGAGGGAGAGCGAAGGGAGAGGAGAGCAAGGCTACGATTATGATCAGACATTTTAACAAAGGCGGAGAAATGTGGTTTGCAACAGCATGGCTAAATTCCAGCGAGTGAGAAAAAAAATACCAGAGAAAAAAATACATGTAATTTAAATTAAATCTTCCATGCATATTAATAATGCGTCAGGATTAGGCTTAATTGGCATGTACCCAATTGCAGGGTGTTTGCACTGCATGCGTGCTAATTGGACACAACAAATGTCCTTAAGAGATATTCAATTATTTATGTGTTCCCGTGAATTCTGAGATAAATCCAACATTATTTAAAAACTAATTTCGATCATATCAATTTTACGGCATGAGCTAAATGTTTTTCTGTTGACTCATTCAAAAGGTCAGCTAAAAACCTATTTATTTGGGAAAGTTTTTACATGATTTTCTTGTGGCTGTTTTCAACCTGTCACTGAGTTGTCTTGGTGATTATATTTTAAACATTTTCAGCATTTTGAATTGTATTTTAACTTGTATGTATCTGTTTTTTACCCATTAAGATTGACGCGCTTTGTGGCCATGGTCTGTGAAAGGTGCTGTAAAAATAAAGCTTACTTACTTACTTATAATATATTTTATTTAGTTGCATTTGGCTTTTGCAACGGCTTTTTAATCATTCTAACCTATTGCGATAAACGGAAATTGCTACATTGTTACTTACACGGCGGATCCAGAAAGCATTCCATCCTATTCACCTTCTCTACATTTCATCAAATTCATATATTTTCTTGTCGATCTACTCAAAAACCACATCAGGTCAAAGTCTTTGACATTCTATTAAATATAAAAAAGTCTTCAAATCTTTTATATTACTTGAGGGATCTACAGCAGCAATTACGCAATGACTTCCTGGGGATTTTTTTTGCCTTCTTCTGTGCAGATCCTCTCAAGTCCTATTAGTTTTGCTGCCAGCCATTTTTCAGATCTGTCCAGAGATGTAATAAAATGTGTATTACTGCATCAGGGCGCTATTAGGAATTATATTTTGAAATGGTTTTTTTAAGAATCTTTTGCATGGATAATATTCAGTTGACAGAGCAAGTTAAATATACCACAGCCACACAGAGGGCCAGAGATCAGACTGAGCAAAAACAAACTGAATATCTATCACTGAGGCCAAAACCTTACATCAATTAGTCCGTGTGAAACCATGCCATTAGGTCAGGCACTAGGCACTTGTCACTTTTGCAGCTGCAGAGAGAGGAAAATAGTTGAAAATACAAACATGCTCGCACTGGAGTTTGACTAGACACACACGTTTGCTATTTTCAGGTGTCTCGGAGTTGTGTGCAGTGATTAAAGCATTCCATGGGGCCTAAGCAGTGCCCGAGCGTGGCCTCTGCAGTCAAATGAGAGGCCGCGATCCCGACAGCCAACAGACACCGTGTGAACAACCCGATCCGCCCTAAACTGGCTGACCTGACCGAGACCCCTGAGCAGCTGAGGCCCTACTCACGAAGCACCGACGCACACACACACACATACAAACACACGTACACATACACAGGCACCAGAGTGGGACTCATTAAGACGCAGGGCTGATCTACAGTATGTTGTGTAGTGTGTTCACAGTTGTACAGTGTAATTCCTCCGTGTGGTCGATGTGTGTTATGCAGATAGTGTTTGAAATTTAGTATCGTGACAACACCATTTCCAAACGAGAACCAATACTTCAAACAGTGACAATACCACAGCGGGAAATTATAACTCCTCATTTTAGAATGTTGAAGTTATTATGCTGTAGTCTAACGTGTATCCAATATGCTCAAGAAATGTCAAATGTTCTCTTTAGTTCATTTATATTCAGTATCAATGCTTGCAAAAACAAGTATTGATACTAGCTACTAATTTGAGAAATTAATTAATATCTGAATTTTAATACTTTTGACAAACGTAAAAGCGAAATCAATGATATAAATAAATACATTTAAAGAAAACATTGGACACTTTACATAAATATTGTATTACTATATCTATACAGTAATATATACAGTACGTAAGATAGATTTATTTACATAGTCACAAACCAAGGTCACACAAGGTGCCTTGGGGTAATACATAGTAATATATGTACATTTTTAGTAATATTTGGTAATATTGTTAATGTTCTGTGCATTTTGACACTATTCTCCAACACTGTTTTACTTCATACTAAAATGGCTTAAATTAGACCATTACAAACACAGACTCTGAAATGCACTAATTTTAGAATTCCTTCCTCTTTAGTTGTAGTACTTATCCCTCAAACTTTCATTATAGGATTTACAACAAAAACCAACGCGTATTCCATGAGTTTGTATCGTTTGCTGACTGAAATGTAATGTTTTATTCCCAATGCGAATAGCTCACAATCCTAACTAGAATCAGATCATACAACATTCTATCTTCGATCTTTCAGTCATTTTAAGGAAGGTGCTCTGTGAAAACCTGACATTATTGAACGAGATGCCGATGGGGCTGCACATGCACAGGTGGTGGAGTCTCTGAATCGGCTGAAGTTCAAAAGGAAAACGCGGTGACCTTGGGCTAGTGAAGTTCAAAAAGAGGAACCGCTGACTGGGTACACAGGCTGATAAAGAAACAGAGATACAGGGATGAGGGGGAGAGGGAAAGGGAGAGGGCTCGGTATTTACGAAAGTGCAGAGCTAATTGGATTTTTATACTATGCTTGTAGCGTTGGATTTGCTCTAATTGATAAATACAACAATAGGTGCAGAAAGGAGAACTTTGAAGTCTGGATACCTAAACAAAACAAAAATGAATGTCCCAGATAAAGGGAATCTGAAAGAGATGGATATAGAACTGGAAAAATATGAGGGAGAAAAGAGGAGGGAGACAGCTGTGCCTGTGTAGATTATGACTAAAAAAGATTCACTGGCTCTCTCCTGGCTTGGCTTTGAACTGGGTTTTCAGCCGGCTGCACTCAAGGACACGCTGAAATTGACGGGCCAATTGAAAACCGCGTTCATCCGCAGACTACGGTCTTTATGCGTTTGATGCTTTTACTAATATAACTGAATCCATAAGCGCTGATGTATGGAGTTTTTTGATGCATGAGAGGGCAACGGTCGGTACGTACATATAAGAGTAATACATTACGCTTTATGCATAATTGCTCAAAACAATTCCAAGGTTGACCGGTAAATTCATTTAAGAATGCCTCAAAGCAAAGGCATTTTATAAGCTTGGCCTATAGGGGAATTTAATTACGGCATTTCTGACAACAAACAATACGCTTTCATCCTTTCTTCAATCCATGGCAGGGATGTCAAAGTCGAAAACTGACACATTTGCTACAAGCCGAGGGCCGAACTGTTTCAATGTTTATTAAAACATATTAAAATGATTGTGTACAACCTATTGAATCAATTGTACCCTATAATATTTAATGATTTATTTAATAATCCATTATTTTTGTATGGCTCTGTCAGTAATATCATTTGAAAATATTTTTTCAACAGCTCACAGACAAAAACAAACTTTCTTCAAAGGGCCTTGACTTTGACACCCATGATCTATGGCGTTTCAAGTTGTGTCTAGGTTCTAAAAATATATTTCAGGGCAGGTGCCAATACAAGTCTGCAAAACAGGAGCAATTTTTAAAAGAAATATTGAAAAATCAAATGCCAAAATGTTTTCCCAGATCAGTATTTGATAATGATTAGATGAATAAACCCACCGTGTACCATCATGCATTTGTACTCTGACTATAGTCACCACTTCACCTTTCTTATGGATTATTTTGTGGATTGCCTCAGGAATCACATACACATTATTCAACTGCCCTTACACCACAATTTTACACTATGGATCTGTGTACGTGTTATCCAGGGTCTACAATAAAAAGCTTTTCTGAAACAAAGGTTATCCCATAAACTGCTCTTTAAGCATTACTAAATAGATACATTTTCAATTATGCAAATCACGACAAAATTAACTGGAATTTTGTGTACACTCCGTCTTTAACTAAGGATAGAATATTATACAATTGTCGGAAGAGATGGACAAGATGGAGCAACATGTGCAGTAAAAACCCCATTTATAGCGATTTAGAAAAGGATTGCAGAACTTGTGACTTGGAATTTTTGTAGCTTCAACACAAACCTTTTTTGCCTCATACGGAAATGTCTTATTGATTCTTGCATTTGCCTTGTGCTCTGACAGGAAGCAACAAACCGCAGATGCTTGCTCATACTCTTTGCCGAACGTCGGCAAACATTGCCAGGAGAATGTGTACCAGTCTCTAAAGCTGCCAATCGTGGGATTACGGCGCAGCTAAGGCTAATCCGTGGCTTTGTTCTTTCCTTACATAAAACACGAAAAGACATTGACCATTTTGAGGAAGCATGGGAGAGAAAATGGAGGGAGAAAAAGGGCATACTTACTCCATCATCGAGGCGGGTATGGAGCAGCAGTCCTGGATGGCGGTGAGGGGAGACGTAAGGTGGGCCGTGTAGGAGGCCTCCACCACCTGCTTATTCCGGTTCACCACGTCCAGGTAACGGTTGAACTTCTCACGGATCTTTTTGGCCAACTGCACAGAAGAAGACAGGTCAGAAAATTGACAGCTAGAAAAAATAAATAAAATAAAAACTTCCTTGAGGTTTTAATCAAAAACAAATATAAAGTACAGAGTATGTTACAGTCTGTCTTTCCTTCTATATTGTATAACAGGACAAAAAAGGAAGGATGACAATTATAGGTTTTCTGTTTGATCTTGAAGTTTGACTGGCTGATGGACAATTTTATTATTTTTAAAAGGCTGCATACAAACCGGTGGTCGGGGGAAATTGGCAACTAGGACAAACTGAGGTGGACATTGATGAGAACGGGTTTATTTCAAAGAAGAGAAGGATAAGTAAAAGTGAACATCAATAAATCCAGTATTTTATTTGTGGAAAGTTGGTTTGGAGCTCATGTTTTGCCTAATTAACCTTAAAATGAGGTATCACATAGCCAATATTAAAATACTTAAAATATTAGTCAATATTAGTCCATCTCTGAAAATAATGCTTTAGGAGTGAACTGCGCAGGTGCAGACCGGCAGAGGCCGATTAGAGCTAGCTCAAACAGGTTATTTGATCAGGAATCTGGAGTCAAATATATGCTCATTTCTTTGGTAGCGAGGGCCAAGTGACCAAGCACCAATCTCTCGAGCTAATTGCTAGCTAAAAGGAGAAATCTGTAACAGAGAGCTCCTGATTGGTCAGTTTTTAGGGCACATATCTGTTGGACATGTCACACTGATATAAAACATCAGGATCAAAGAGAGTTTACTTTTCAATGTAAGTGAAAAGGAGCTAGGGCAAGTAGGAACAAAAAATTGTCCTTGAGCACTTCCCTATTCCACTTTATTGAGCTAGAGAAGTGGTGGGCAAACCCCGGCCCGTGGGCCACATGCGTCCCTTTTAGACGCTTCTATTAGGCCCCTGACCCCCCTCAGATTATAGAAACACAGTGTAAAGACTATAAAATAACTGTGCTGCGTGCAGAGCTCAGGAGCCACAGTTACACTCCTCCCTCTGCCGTCATACATAATATAACATTCATTATAATGTATATAAAAATATATTTATGTGTAAAAAGTTAAGTCTGAGAAAAAATGTGGCCTGAGGAAGTTTGCCCATGCCTGAGCTAGAGGGTTAGCATTGTACATCTATATACAGTCTATGGTCTTAAGTACTGTATTCTAGCTATCCTAGTTAGGCCTTGATATGATGCAATAAGACTGAGGTTGACTCAAAATGTAAATGTTTACTTTTTAATTTGTTACACGTTTTCATTTCACGTTGGTATCATTTAATATAACAATAATGGTATCTTTCACAAATTATAGATTACTGCAATACATACAGAGCAGAGTTTTGATTGTGGAGCCAAGACGACGAAAGAAAAGAATCATTACAGGCTAGTTAGGGGTTTCAATAAAATTCTGTGCGGTAACTAGACCCCGTTTGTTCGTGCCTCATAATTACCAGTTTGTACAAAAGGCCTTTGATACAAAACCAGAAACAGGGAATAGCACCACGGCCCACTGACCACTGCTGCAGCCATCACAGACCAGTGCTCTTATTAGGGCTTTTAACAGGGGCCTGGGGCAGAACCACAAAACTCCAAAGTCCCCCCTTAGCCCCACCACAATTAGGCTCAGTATAGGCCTGGTATTAAAAGTGGGAGTGAAATTGTTCTGTGGTGAGCTCACGAGTGTTCCATCGCAGCGAGGAGGAAGGGTGCCACAGGAACTTAAAGGAAACGAGAAACTAGCGGATCCGAAAGTTAGGGCTAAGGTTTCGGCTTCTCCACCTCTACGGAGTCCATTAGCCGTGCCACTTCTAATTACAATCTTTGGGGACATTACGAAAAGAAACCTGGATACACTCCCTGTATAGGATCACAGACTAAACATTCATTTTACTTCAAGGTGCAGTATTTTGTGTTAAAAGGGACAGTATGTAATATTTTCATTTTTAAATTACATGTACATCTTTTATGCATGCATATTCCCAGTAAATAGATCAGCACTTAATTAACAATACAACAGACACATACAATATTCACAATAACAGTTTTACAATGTATTTTTACAGGTACATATTATTTCAAGAAGGACAAGGTCGAGGCAAAAAAGTGTATGTGCCTTCTCCATTATCATTCCCCATATTATCCAATAAGAAAGCACAATTAGTCTCATATTTTGGCTGCCAGTCTGTTAGCTACAATTTTTATGGTTTTGGCTCCATCTTTTTTAATATCAAAAGTAAGTAGTGATAAGTAAATACTTGCCATAGCCATCCGTAATACTCAGTTATTATGGTTTCTAGCAAAACTCCAGCAGGTGGATTGCATCAGGAGCTACATGTGAAAGAGTGCATATTACACACGGCCCCTTTAAGTATTTTGAACCTCGTTTTTTTTTCAATGGATGCGCAATAGTTTTGAATGAAATTAATGGAAACATGACTCATTTCTAATCAATAATATTTTATGTACGTATGATAATGTGGTTAGTAGTTCTCTATTCATTCTAAAGTTCAGGGCTCCACCTTTAGTCTCACCTATGGTTTATTTTTTTTCTGTCATTATAGCACAGCTCTGTGTAACCAAAGCTTCTGAGGAGGTGTAACTCCTAATCTTTTTGTTGAATAGAAATGAACTCTCTGTGAAACAAAACACCATCTTGTTGAAAGGGGTTTTCGCCTTCTACTCTGATCTCATAAGAGAAAAGAACTTAACAGTAACTTGATTTAAAAAGCAGGACTAAAGGTTGGGCCAAAGACACATTTTTTATTATAGGTTATGTGCACATCACGACATTTTGATTTAGCCCTGTTAGGTGTGTGAGGTAGTCATAAGTTGGTGATCAGTCTTGTGTGGACAAAAACCATGGTTTTCAGACGTCATGTCCGGTCGTACCACATCATTAGAAAGGGACAGATGTGCGAGTATGAATAATGAATCCACTATGGAGGACGGGTCTTTCCAGCAGTCCTCCATGTCCACTTCTGCAGGCCTTTCTTTCTCCACCGGCCACTCTCCTAATGGGGCTTTGGCTCAGAGGCCCGGCCCGCTGCCCAGAGAGAAGCTCGACAGTTCCAGTGCTGTGTCACCTTAATTAATTTAGAGCCTGCCAAGTCCAAAATGTATGGGCACTTTATGAGCTTGGGGTAAAAAAAAACAAAAAACGAGCCCGAACCTTGTGAATGGTCCATAAAATTGTGAAAGCCAGACCTCTGAAGCTAAGCAGGGCAGTTCCTGGTCAGTACTGTGATGGGAGGCCTGAAGTAACACCAGGTGCCACAGTGGGGCGACAGTGACTATAAGATGATGTGTGAATGATTGGTGGTGGTTGGAGGTAGGGCTGGGCGATACATCGATAGTTACGATAAGTGTCTTGCCCAAGGACACAACAACAGCAGACATTAGCAGGAGCAGTTGGAGTAGGTCTCGTAGGGGGATTGAACCCACGACCTTCAGGCCCAAAGGCCAATGCTCTACCAACTGAGCCGCTTAGTCTGTTGCCCCGCTGCAATTTACAATACATCAATGGCATGTTATACATGAATCACATGCATTGTATATACTGTATCAATATGTTTATACATGTATATCACTTTCGCTGCTTGTTTGTATGTTTGCCTTCTCTGTGTTGTACTTGCCCCCACCTCCTTGCTTTTGCTCCCCCTCCCCTCACGTCTCATTCAGTCTAGGAGCTGGGAGCATAGACTGTAAAAATTCTCTGAGGCCGCAAACTTGTCTAAACGAATGCAGAGTGTAGAATATGACAGAAGTGCAAATTATATCCATATCGCCCATCCCCAGTTGGATTGGCCTTAAGTCTGTCAGTGTGACCCAGGGCAGCTGTGGCTATAGTAGATGTTTATTACCAACGTACAGTATACAAGGTGAATGAATAATGGCGTAAAGTGTCTGAGTGTTCAAAAAATTATGCATTATGCATTATTATAATAAAATCTGTATCAAAGCTGCCTCAAAGGCAGCAGGCACAGACAGGATCAGTCTCAGGGGATATGCAACAAACTTGTCGCTTGTGGCTGTTTACCATTTTGCGGTTTGTTGTCACTCGTCCAAGATCCCTGACGCAGGAGCGACAAGCAGACTGGTACACACACACTATACAATGCCTTTGATTTGTTGCACTAATTTTGCATTCCACTGTTGTAACGCTCAACGCGAAAGATTGAGGTCTTTACACACTTCAGACAATTATTTAGTTATAATAATTATAAGACTGTAGTATTGTAACAACATAATTTGTGTCATTCTAATATTTGACTTTATATTTTGCGAGGCATCTCTGTATTTTGAGCAAAATTCAAAAACGGATTAAAAAACTATTCTGTTTCTCTCATGTAAAAGTGAACAAATTAGACTACAACATTCTGCCATTGTCTTATTTATGTTGTATGCTGTTGTAGGGCCCTACAAGTCCCTTTTATGCACTTAAGGCTGGTAACGGATTGGCTGAGAGGTGCTAGTCCTCTCTGTGACAAAGGCTAAAAACTCAAAACTCATTCTGGAACCAAACTTTTTAGCGCAAAGAACTCGTTAGATAGAATTTATGACATCTCAAATAAATATTGTTTGGATGAACTAGAGTATAGTTTAATACCCAAAGAAAGCATAATATGTCTCACTTAACTCCTTTTCCCGGCAAAAACTGGTGAATTTCCAAAGCGAGCACTTTTCTCTCACATCTTATTCTTACCACAGCTTTCATTGTGAGGCAGCGGAGCAAGTGGAAAAACAGGCACGCTGCTTCAAAGCGTCCCTCTGATGGCTTACTGTGTGCATGTGTAAATGTGTCTGGGCTAAAATAAAAAGTGCTAGACAACAAATGAAGCAGACCACGTTTTTGAACTCACCTGCTGCACCTCCGTCTCCCCGTTTGAAGTCTTCTCCGTGTACACAAAATTGTTGAATGTCCGCTGTAACAAAGACAGTGATGTCAGTGCATGTAGAAACGATTCATCATAAGATCAGATGAAAAAAAGGAACCATTATAAAAAGACATTTTGTGGAGAGAAATTTTACCAGTCCTCTGTGTCTTAAAGTCATTAGAAAGGTTTTAAACAATTGCAAACCACCACCTCCAATATTGCATAAACAGGTTCCTTCCAATCCTGAGATAGAAAGTCATCTTCTTCCCACTCCCTTTCAGGAAGAATCACGTTTACAGGCACTGTGCATTCACTTTCTGTCCTTATCTTTTTGCACTACATGACTTTAGTGTATACCTTGTACTTATCTCAGCCATTGCCTGAAATAAATGAATACATGAAATGAAAAAGGAATTAAGAAATTGGGAACTGAAAAATGTCAAGATCTGAAACCATATCTGTTGGCCATAAAAGAAACCAATTGAAGATCGTCACTTTTTTTTTTTACATTTTCACACAATTATAAGAGATAATTTATTCGTCCCACAGTGGGGAAATTTAAATCACAAAGGGAGCACACAAAATATACAATTGAAGTAGCTGCTATGTTTCTTAGCTGGCTGTAAATGCTTCAATATCAATCTTTCAATATGTGTTTAATTATAGTGTAAAGTAATGTATATGTCTGTAGAATGAGTCTGGTGGGTGTGTGAATGGTTGGTGGTGGTCGGAGGGGCCGATGGCACAGACTGGTGGCCTCGCTTCTGTCAGTGTGCCCCAGGGCAACTGTGGCTACAGTAGTAGTTTATCACCACCGTGTATGAAATTATAGATTACTGCAATACATACAGAGCAGAGTTTTGATTGTGGAGCCAAGACGACGAAAGAAAAGAATCATTACAGGCTAGAGTGAAAAGAGTGAAAGAATAATGAATGTAAAGCGTCTTTGAGTGTCCAGAAAAGCGCTATATAAAACCTATGCATTATTATTATTATTATTGTATGTAGGGCAGGGAAAGAAGTAGATAATGTAACGTTCAGTGGAAATTCTGAAATTGTAGTTTGCATATTTCACGAGATTACAGTATTGACTATTTACAGATGAATGACATGTACAGACTCAGCAGTTCTCTTTGTACAGTCTGACATGATAGTATAGTAATTAAAGTAAGACCCTATTGGGTAAAGATTCTAAAATCGCAAAAGCACAGACTAAACTACTATCCTATGGTAGAATACACTTTGCACTAGACTCCAAATACTTCAAGCCGACTTTTGTCAAGCATACATCACAACATGCTGCCAACTTTCCCTGTTTCCCGTCCAGCCTATAACCGGTTTAAAACTCCCGGATTGATAATGAATGTAAACACAGCTTTCCATTGAGGGTATGGAGAAAGTGACTCCTTGAATGACCTCACCATAGCCACATACACACGCCTGTTGGGCCTATGGGATAAATATTCCCCCGCACATGTCAAACAGCACACCGCTACGTGTCGGCAGCAAACACAGCAAAGCTAATGTTTGCATTGAGGCAGCAGGCAAGGCAGGTGTCCCGTCATAAGCTGCCCCACTGCGCACAAAGCCCTTAATTGCCTGGTTCCACGCAGCAGACATTTCCTGCTACCTGTCTACACCTTTTGTCAGGACACATTCCAGAAGACACCAATTACCCACAATGCACTGCTTGCCTACAACAAACTTGTATGCAACTATGCCTTGATCGCCCGCGGCAAGTCTATATTTTGAACGGCCTACTGAGACAACATGGAGACATGGCGATAACTAAGGTTTTCTATGAATAACATACTTGAAGAAAACATAGCAACGTTATATACAATACAATATTCATATTTATGCTTTGTAATCATCTCATCGGCAACATACTTCAGTTGATTAAAGATTGAATGGAATGTTATAAAACTAAATTGACCGTATAGGCGCTGAAATAGCATAATTCCTCATGGTACGTTCTATACAGCAACCTGGCTTCCTGACTTTTTTTACAACCTAAACCTTGAGGCCAATTGTACTTCTGCAAACAGTGTTTTTCATATGAATATTGTGTCACATCAGTGAGTTTTGAATAATACAATCTTTTCTCTCGGCCATGCAGAAATAGATATTAGATACCTACTTGATATTATGAATGTGACTACATCTGCAAATCAACAATTGCAATATGATTCTTGGACACATGTCTTTGTACTTGTAGTTGAAAAGCTGAGCTGTAGTGATTATGCTGCAGATTTGCCAGTTCCTCCAGCGCCTGCTCTGTTTGTTGTTGCACCTCAGTGGTTTTCACAGCTCAGGGGCATGAGCGGAGGAATGCCCTGAAACCCGAGAGGACTGAGGCTGCCGGCCCTCTACGGACCTGTGGCCTCCCCTGACCCATCTCTCACACACACACACACACACACACACACACACACACACACACACACACACACACACACACACACACACACACACACACACACACACACACACACACACACACACACACACACACACACACACACACACACACAAGCTCACACAGACCTACACTATAGGAAAACAGGGTTTGATCTGAATGAGAGAAAAAATACATTCATTAGGACTGGAAAAACCTGCACTACTATTGACACTGTTTCTTGATTACCACTTTTGAATTGCCACTTTTTATTGTACATAATATATCCTGCATTTAACATGTTGCACATTTCTTTCTCTTGCACAATCTTGGGTGTTTCTATCCATGCGACGTGTACATTTCTCCTGTGTGAGATCAATAAAGTCTATCTTATCTTATCTTACCATGAATTGTGGGTCTTGCATCAAAAATCAAACTGAATAATTTCTGAGATTTCTGAATTGTTGCAGCACTAATATGATCTCAACTACATACGGCACTTCCCTTGTCATGGAGTCTCATTACCACTGAGCAAAACAACCGCCTCTTCCTTAAATACTGAGCAACACAGGAAAACAACTTGCAGCAATTAAGCTGCCTCACAAGGTCATCTTTAGGCATGTGTGAATACTCCAACGACAAAATACAGGGGTAATTTAGAGAATGAGAAAAAGATAGGGAAAGAGAGAAATATATGTCTTTATTGCGTCATGTGGATGAATCAATTCATTTAAAATTATTTCTTGTATAGCCCTAAATCACAACAGTAGTTATCTCGGAGGACTTTACAAAACCGCTGAATTTGCCAACACAGCTCAGAGAATCAAACAGTTCAAAAACAACACCAAAAAAGCCAACACGTGTCCAAACAACACACCAACATTTCCCAGTTTTGCCAGGTTGACACGGCATTTCAACATGGGTCCAAAAATACAAAGCTGCGATGGGATGATTATAGTAATGTAATTGACCTGATAAAAATAATAAACCTCCTCCAAGAACAGCCAGGGCCCTGGTGATCCCCCTCAGAGACAAGTTCCAGCTCCTAATACAATGGCCTTTTTAGCTTAAGCTAAGCATAAATCTATTCAAACTAGGCACACTGATCAAAGAGTCATGCCTTTGTCTCCTCTGACTGGTTTAAATCCATCCACCTCCGGGTTAATCTCACCACAGCCGAGTGCTTCTCAGGAATGGACAAATCCTAGTTTATCAATGTTTGTCTTTTGTAATTAAAAGAAGGCCTAACATACTAGTTATATTACACAATCAAATCGTTGAAATAGTTTAGCCAAAATGTGGATTATTTATCAGATGGTAATAACACTCACTATTTTGATTTGGGTAGAACATACTTCTATTCTTGTATGTTTGCAACCTGGGAATACGCAACTACGCAACTCATAAATAATCGATTGAATGGATACGAATGCTGCATGCGTGCAGACCAACATGATCGAGATCTGTCGCACCTAATAAATAACAACAATTTAACTACGAAAAAAAATATGGAATGGTTCCAAAACCACCCCAAGTGATGTGGTCTGGTGTTAGCCAGGCTAGTATGTTTGAGTAGTCTGGTATTGTCCTGCACTTGAGAACAACCTCCTATCCCTGCCCATTCATCCACTTGGGAATATTCAAACTGCACGACATTATGATACATGAAATATACATTTAACAATAAGTAAGATATGATACCACTGTAATACTTGTTTAATCATCAGTTCTGCAGTTTTGTAGCCAGGTTGACGCCACTTTCTACAAATACTAGGTAGGAGAAACGCAGGCCGCTTCAGGAACCAGGAAGTACAACCGTCCAATCAGCTTCAACAGAGGTACCTTGCCCTATGCTGTGAAAACTCCTGGTGAGGACACTGCTTCATGTTTAATACAACACAGATTTTACACTGTACCATTTTCACAGAACTCCAGATATATTTATGTACAGCTCCACTCAAACCCACAGAGTCCTGGGATATGGGCTGTGTTTAATTGGCTCGGCCTGTTGGGACGCTCCTGTCAGTCTCCGGGGAAAGCACTAAAGCCCAAGAGCCTCTTCTCTTTTAAGTGACTCTCTGTGTTAATGGAGCAGTGGCTGAATGCAAACAGCACAGACAGACTCACCCAAAGAAGACTGAAATATGGACGCTGCCTATAGATTCAATTCAATCATAAGGATCCTGACCATAGATTACATATTTTTTCCTTGAGACAGTTATTACCAAAGATAATAAGTGTGTTGGGCAAGTTAAAGCAGTAAATGATGTCACGTCTTGCTTTTAACTATTGATCTAATTTTTATAGTAGCGGTATCTTCTATATCTTCAGAAGTTTTTTCAATGATCAAAAAACTATTCTAATATATCAATCATTAACTGCTTTTTATACAGATTCCCACACAAATAAGTATAGTGATTGATGACATTGTGCTCAAACAAATGAACAACTATTCAAATATTAGTTGTCCATCTGTGTGAGATAATAAAGGATTGATTGATTGATTGATTGATTGATTGATTCACTAGATTCAATTATCAAAATATGAGTTAGTTGCAGCCCTATACTTTTGTCAACGTACTGTTTATTTATGAGCAAAACCGAAACCTAGTTAGCCTTACGCCATGCTCATGTTTTTCGGATCCTTCTA